CCCCAGGATGCCATTGGCCTTCTTGGCAGCCAGGGCACACTGCTGGCTCATGGTCAACCTGTTGTCCACTAGGACACCCAGGTCCCTCTCCGCAGAGCTGCTCTCCAGCAGGTCCACCCCAAGCCTGTACTGGTGCATGAGGTTGTTCCTCCCCAGGTGCAGGACCCTGCATTTGCCTTTTTTGAACCTCATCAGGTTCCTCTCTGCCCAACTTTCCAGCCTGTCAAGGTCACGCTAAATGGCAGCACAGCCTGCCGGTGTATCTACCACTCCTCCCAGTTTGGTGTCATCAGCATAACTAAAACTTGCTGATGGTACATTCTAACTCTTCATCCAGGTCGTTGATGAAGAAGTTCAACAAGACTAGGCCCAGTACTGACCCCTTGGGGATACCACTAGTTACCAGCCTCCAACTAGACTCAGCGCCGCTGATGACAACCCTCTGAGTTCTGCCATTCAGCCAGTTCTCAGTCCACCTTACCGACCACTCATCCAGCCCACACTTCCTGAGCTTCCCTAGGAGGATGTTATGGGAGACCGTATCGAAAGCCTTGCTCAAGTCGAGGTAGACAACATCCACGGCTCTCCCCTCATCTACCCAGCCGGTCATGCCATCGCAGAAAGCTATCAGATTGGTCAAGCATGGTTTCCCCTTGATGAATCCATGCTGACTACTCCTGGTAACCTTCTTTTCCTCCACTTGCTTGTTGATGACCTCCAGGATAAGCTGCTCCATCACTTTTCCCTCTCTTTGGTAGAGGACTAAGACAGCACAAAGACATCACTAAGAAACGCCAACTTTAATACTGAGAGCAAAAAGAGACTGAAAAAAATGCTGCCCTTATCTGTGTGTTGCAGCAGTCCCTAAAACATCTCCTTTCCCCCATTCATTATGAGGCTGTACAGACTCCCCGATATCACCATCCCCAGCAACCAGGTGGTGAGACCTGAAAGGCCAGTGTCACTGCTGGACCATAAGGGCTGTCCACAAACACTGTTTCATGACAAGACAGTCACCAGAGGGCATCCAAATGCAGCAAAGCAGTAAAATTTTGCCTGCAGACAGGAAAAAAATATAAAGAGCAAAAGCTTCATGTGGGAGAGCTGACAGGAGGGAGGAAAGGAACACAACACTTCTGGGTCACCTGTCTCAGTGCTTCTCCATTCTCATGGGAAGAGATTTTTTCCATATATCCAATCAGTTTCCCTTGTAACCTGTAAGAACAGCCTCTTTACTCTTTTATGGCACACCTCTTAGAAAAGTCTAATTCTTCCACTAACCACCTTAGGAGCTGGACTTTTTCCAGTTTGTTGATATATATCTTGGGGGGGGGGAGAGATGGGACACACAGACACACATGACATGGGATGGACACAACAGTGCTGGGCACCAGATTAGACACGGGGTACCACAAATGCCAAGTAGAAGGGAGAAACCCCACTTCCCTCCACTTCATGACCCTATGCTCTCTTTGTAATACAGCCCAGCATGCAGTTGGCCTTCGTTGCCACAAGGCTACGCTGCTGATTCCTATTCAGCTTCTTGTCCACTAGAGCTCCCAGGTCTTTCTGCAGAGCTGCTGCCCAGCCTGTTTGTCCCCAGCCCATACTTAGACACTGGGTGATTTTTTTTGCAGATGCAAGGCTTTTTGCTGGTCTTTGTAGAACTTTAGGAGGCTTCTGTGTTCCTTCAGTTTGAGGTCCCTCTAAATGGCAGCCCTGCCCCGCAGGCGTATCAGTCGCTCCCCCCTCCATTTAGTTTCATCCAAAAACTTGATGAAACACTGTATCCCATGACCATTAGCTTGCTAATGAAGATATTAAACAAAATCAGCCTTTACCACCATACTTCAAGTATTTCGTACATTTAGGTAAGTACCTATTTCTGTTTCTCATAAAGTGCTTTAATATATTGAATTACACTGCAGGTTGATCACTTACAAGAGCTCTAATACCATCTGAGTTGTGAGGCTCTTTCATTTATCAATCTGCAAGTTAGAGTCATTCCTCTCATGGAAAGCCACAGAATCATAGAATGGATTGGGTTGGAAGGAACCTTATAGATCATCTAGTTCCAACCCCCCTGCCATGGAAAGGGACACCTTCCACTAGACCAGGTTGCTCAACAGCCCCATCCAACCTGGCCTTGAACACTTCCAGGGAGGGGATGTCCACAGCTTCTCGGGACAACCTGTTTCAGTGCTTCACCACGCTCACAGTAAAGAATGTCTTCCTTATACCTAATCTAAATCTACCCCCTTTCAGCTTGAAGCCATTACCCCTTGTCCTATCACTACAAGCCCTTGTAAAACGTTCCTCTCCAGGTCTCTTGTAGCCCCCCTTCAGGTACTGGAAGGCTGCTATAAGGTGTCCCCACAGCCTTCTCTTCTCCAGGCTGAATAGCCCCAACTCTCTCAGCCTGTCCTCACAGCAGACGTGTTCCATCCCTCTGACCACTTTTGTGGCCTCCTCTGGACCCGCTCCAACAGGTCCATGTCTTTCCTGTGCTGGGAGCTCCAGAGCTGGACGCAGGACTCCAGATGGGGTCTCACCAGAGCAGAGCAGGGGGGCAGAATCACCTCCCTTGACCTGCTGGCCACGCTTCTCTTGATGCAGCCCAGGATCTGGTTGGCCCAGGATACAGTTGGTCTTCTGGGCTGTGAGCACATGTTGTGATTCTGTTGCCGGGTCATGTTGAGCTTCTCGTCAACCAGCAGCCCCAAGTCCTTTTCCTCAGGGCTGCTCTCAATCCATTCTCTGCCCAGCCTGTATTTGGACTTGGGATCGCCCTGACCCATGTGCAGGACCTTGCACTTAGCCTTGTTGAACTTCATGAGGTTCGCATAGGCCCACCTCTCAATCCTGTCCAGGTCCCTCTGGATGGCATCCCTTCCCTCCAGTATGTCGACCGCACCGCTCAGCTTGGTGTCATCGGCAAACTTCCAAATAGGAAGGTAGAGATTGACTTAGTATCTGTGGTGGAGCTGTATTCCGGCAGATTTTATTTTGGAAAAACCAACAACAAATCTGAATGAAATTGTTTCCAACTTTAATCAACATGGAGTCTGGCACTTGCCACAGGCCTATTAGCCATAGCTCAGATCTCCCACAGATGTACTGCTTACAGCAAAGTCTAGCATGGAAGTGATATCAGGTTCCAGGCTTTTACCTTCCTATTTCTGACACCCAGAAGATTTTTAGTCCTGCAAGAAGAATTTGACTTGTGCTGCTGAATAGGCTGTCTGGGTAAACAACTCTTTTAATGAAAAGCATACAGTAACTTTGTTAAAAAAAAAAAAAAAAAAAAAAAATTTTGTTTCTTCAACTAGCTAATTTAGGTTAGGGTAACCCTGGCCTGAGAGAAAATTCTTTTAAAATGAGAATTAAATTGAGAATTTTAAACTTTTCAGTTTTTTAACTGAGAAACTAATTAGTCTTAAGACAAATTTCACTTAATTAGGAAGATATTATATAAACTGGAGAATATAAAAGACGTTTTGTCTCTTTTAGAAACATGGAGAGATCTCCCCCATACTTGTAATCACTCTTTTTGAGATTCAACTCTAAATTAACTAGCATCCAGGGAAATCCCAAGTTTTGAGAAAGAAATTCCACATGACTCTTGTGATGACGTGTAGGAAAAATTCCCATTAGAGCATCATTTTGCTCAGTAGTAGTAAAGTACAGCTAGAAAGACACGTTTCTGCTTTCTGATTTCTGTACCCAATCGATCTGTCATATTTTTTCTTAGACTAATATAGTTTTGCTTATTGAAGAACATACTGAGGAAACACTCCATATATGAATGTTCTTATTCATGAAGCAACTAGACTACCTGTTTTGAAGTACAGCTGTAAAAAACTATTCATGTTAATTTATCCATGATTTTTAGTCTACTAAAACACAAACCGTTCTTTCCTATTATTACTCTTCCTGAGATAAACTATAAGAAGTTATCTGAAAAATAGTAACTTTTTTCAATATTTAATCAGTTACAGTACTACATGGTTAAGTTTAAAAAGGGTTGCATGCAGAGAAAAATAAAATTTGGCAAGGTTTGATCCTTTTGCAAGCTCCACAGGCTTATAATTTCACTCTTGGCTTACTTCCGTTCCACGGAAATACTGAGAGATGGAAACAAATTTGTGTAGAGTTCAACGAGCCAGAAAAAGCAGTATATTCTTTTTGCAGGAACTGACTAATGAGAAAAAGAATAAAGACATTACAACTTAAAAAATACAAAAGAATTCTATCTGACAAATGGTTTGTCAGATAGACGCTGACAAGAATTTCTAAGAAAAGTTTCCATCAGCAGTAGTCACTAGAAACCCAACTCCTGGCTCACTTAGAGCAGCTTACATTTTGCTTTGGGTAACATGCTAAATTTCCATGCTGGATGAGGAGAATCGGTGATTTAAAGAATACAGCATATAATTTCAAAAAAAGCCATCTGCTCTTGGGTGTCTTTGGAAAGAAAAACCACTACGTTTCTCATTTCAAGTAATTCCAACTCTTACCTTCCAAGACAAAGGCAAGTGAACAATTTCTGTCTTAAAACTATAGAGCAATGCAGTATCAGAACTTAGGAGTAAAACACAGGTACCCTAGGCCTAAACCCACGCTTATACCACTTAAGTTTTTCTGTTCCTCCTAAACCTGTTAGCATAGCTACAATTTGAACAGTCAAGTAATTTTGTCATACACCTTCACAATATACAAACTAAATCACAACAGAAAAATATTATTTGTAGTACAATTACGCTTACACACCAGAGGTTTTTCCAGCACAGCTACTGCAAGTAGTGGTCTGTCCCTCCCTCCCCCACCTGCACTGGCAAATACATAGCATAGACATAGCTCTTCATGAGCATGATTATTCATAATCTTTCCATACAGGGTTCTTCACAGTAAAATTTACTGTACAGACAGCACAGATGGATCAGTGAAGACACAAGCAGTGAAACTGAAGCCAGAAAAAAACCAAACAAACAAAACAACAAACCAAGCCATTGACGCAAGTCTGCTGTCAGTAAAACCACTTTCATTGTTATGGCATATTTGCTTAGGGAAAACCAGCAAAATCCAGTGAATACACTTTCACGATTGCTGGTGCAGGACCAACCTAAATCAAAGTCAGTTTAAAAAAAAAAACAAACAAAAAATAACAGATCTTGTTAACTCTAAATAAGTAAACCACATTACTGTTCATCCTATCAACTAGCTTAAAAATAAATTTTGCTTAATTTTATTCCAACAGTGGTGTTGAGTTGATGTGCTAGTGCTTTATTTAAAATATATGTATATAGTAAATTTGCTAAAGCTGGGACAGATCACAAGTTTTTTGTTTCAGTTTTAGGATAAGATAGCAGCTAAGAAAACAACTATAATATCCATTAGTCAGCCTCCAAATTGAAACACAAAACTTGGAAAAACAAACAGCACCTCAGTGTGCATCAATTCTAACACTTTTATGCTTGCTTACTTCATTGAAGTGAACATCTTGCATTCCAACATCCTCCATCATTGAAGCCTCTTCATCTATATTAGGTGTGATTACTCTGAAAGCAGTACAACCTTGCCTAAACATCCCTGTCATTGAAAAAGAAAAGTAGAGAAATTTACTTTTTTCTACCAGGATAACGTTACACCATTTTGTGATGCTGGATAAGACAGAAGCCATATTTAAATATACTTGCCACCACATTAATAAATAACAAAAAAAATCCAGCCTCCCATTGCATGATTAAACTACTAGACCTCACATTACTGTGTAAGTTTAAATAGGTTTTAAAAAAACACATAACTTCAATATCTGGACTCTTATCTACCAAAATAAGTAGTGTCTGAATCTTCCTATTTTACCTTAAACCTGTGTCTAATCTTCCCCACATCAAGTCTAAGGTAATAAAGGTAACTTTTACAGTTTTTAAGTAAACTGGTGTGGTCATGCTGGAACAAACAGGCCCTGGCATATCAGCTTGCCCAGTCTGAGCAATATGAATGGACTGACATCAACCATACCAAAAGATCAAAGGGTGGCAAACCCAATTACTCACCTGTAGATACAGAAAAGCCAGTCTACAAGCAAGAACAAAACCCCCAGCACTCTAACTTCCTTTACTGAAATTGGTATTTAGCAAAAACAGGTCTTAGAATGTTCTGTACATGAAACCTACCTCTTTTACCCATTCTGTTTAGCTCTTCTTTATTATATCAGATTGTTGAATTAAAAAAATCAGGATTTCTGGCCAAAAACTGTATTAATTAAAGCCTCAAGAGCAATCAGTAAACACTGCTGAAGCACAAGGACTTGCACGTATTTGTTTCACAGCTCATTCCCACAAAGATTCTGTCTGCTCGCAGGGCAGTCTGACCACCAGAGGTTTTACTGAGTGATTGCCTCAAATGCATGGTTTTGGTTTGCTCCTGAAAATATCACAGGTAGAAGTTTGACCCTCTATATTACTGAGAGAAAATAACTGCTATTTTTGTCTACTGTCATATAACATCACTCAAAGGGATCACAAATTAATACAGATTATCATTAGTTATCAGTTAGCTGTTATCAGGCTTCCAAGAGGATGCAGAGACTTTGATAAGCAACTTAGTTTTAGATCTGGTCTCAGAGAAGCTTCTGAAATCATTGGGCCTAAGGGGATAGCCTATACAAGTATCCGGCAAGAGGCACAAAAGAAACGGAGAGGAGGCACCTTGCAGACCCATGACTTTGCTTCATTTTGAACTCTCATGCAAAGGCAAAGCTAAAAAGTTGTGAATATGAATTTGTCTGCCTACAAAAATGAAACGCTAGCTCAACATCATAATCAGTCTTAGCAGATTTCTGAAATTTTCTTCTAGAGATCTATTTTTCTAAATAAAGCCATATAATCTTTTATTTTCTCAAATCCCTGACTAAGAACTCTTCAATCCTATAGATGATAGTTTTCTACCCCATCTCAAGGGTCATCAGAAACCTGCTTTTACAGACAGCTGCTAGCAGAGAACACCAGGACAGGCGAATCATTCTGAGCACTATTATCACTGACTCAGCATCTGAACATTTGTACAAATTTGACTTCTCTGGCAATACCAGGTTTCGCTTAGTTGAACAAGAATAGTCACTGATAAGTTCGGTCTAGAAAGTGCCCGATTTCAGCTATTAGCAGCTCTGGTGTAAAATTAAAATTTTTACTTTCCTAAGAATTTTACTTTACCTTTATCTGAAATGCTGCCCCTTATATATGCTTAAATATGTGAGTATGCTATCCAGGTAGGTCAGAATTTTTTCCTTGGTGAACGCTGAAATGCCTACAGCTTCCTCAGGGAAACTGTTGCTTTTCCTAAACTATAATGAAAAAATACAAACATTAAAGTAAGATTTCAAAATCATACCTTTTCGTGTGAGATATTCTGCAACCAGTGCTGCTACATGGACATAACACATTGCTGCCTAAAACAGAAACAGTAACAATCTTATAAATTACAATTATAACGGAACTACTGAAAAAAAGGTATATAAGACGAGCCCGAGCCTCAGATGACTTCTTTGGTTTTCCTTTTGCTGCTTTGCAGGAGATGTCCTATGTCTGGTATAAGAATTCTGCACCTCATTTATGCAGAACAGCAACCGTGCAAGAGCACTCCTATTTCACCAGAGCATTGAGCAGCATGGACAGTAGTACACAATCTGAGAGTGACCACGGACCACACGTTACAAGGTAAGAACGCCATGCTATCATAAAAAAGGCAAATCTCTTTTTGGAATGTATTTTAAGTGTTATGAGAAACAAAAGAGCTATTAATTATTCTACTCAACATCTGATGATTCTTTCGCTAACCTGTTGTGTCTGCCTTTTGGCTCCAGATCATGAAAAATGTAGAAAAAATTGACTGCAGACCATCTGCAAGCAGCAAAAGAAAAGAAGAGAGATCTGACCTATGAACGGAATTTGATGGAATTTGGTTGCTGTAGTCTGGAAATCAGAAGAAAAAGAAGAGCGATCGAGTAGTGTTCCAATGTTTGAGATGTTTTATCAAGTTGACACTGATCACTTTTACCCACAGAAAGGACGAAAAATGATTCAAGATTCTTCTTTCACTAAAACAGGTTTAGGCTTACAGCAAAGTGTTATTCTAACTGCAGTTTGCAGAGTTTACATATGGAGGCTGCAGAATCTTAGACACTGCAGCTGAAGACAAAAGGTAAGTATCTGTCAGAAATTCTCTCCAATTCATACTTTGTATGGGATTGGGATTGGTGATTTACAGATGTCCACATCTAGCCGTACAGTCAAAGATTCTAATTTTTTAACCAAAAAATTAAAAACAGACCTGAAAAGAACTAAAAGAGGTAATCAGAAATGACTTGCAGGTGTATTTGGGTATGACAAAAAACTTGTCAGCCATTGAAACTAATCTACTAACAATCGAAAATTTATTAAAAATGCCTGTTATATTACACACTAACAACTACATATAGCACATTTAATTTAAAGCAACATAAGCTTAACCTTATTACAAAGCTAAAAATGGTTTGATTTTATTCACTTACCTCTGAAAGATCTCCATTTTTAACATGGATCCTTGCCATGCTGTCTAACCATGTCTTCCTCAGTTCAGGTGTACTAGCATAAGACTTTGCCAAACTGTACTGGAGGTCTACAAGCATTTCTGGATCGTTCTCATGCTCCTTCATCTGAGCTGTAGCCATCAGTACTGTACGAATTCGTTTTGTTAAATCCTTAACATCAGAAGGGAATGTAGTGTGCTAAAACATGGAAAAGTTACATTAACTACTATCTTTTTTCTATTCTTGGCATAATAAAAAGTTGAAACATAATTGCAAAAGACACCATGAAATAGTTTTCAAGCTTTCCTTTCTACAGAATGGAAAGAAGAATAAAAACAGACCTTTATAATTCTGTCGTTATTGGCACAATTATTGATGATGGAAAGAGACTGCTGAAATCTAGTTCCTCCAATTCCAACAACATCAGCAATCAACTGGCTTACTGAAATAATAACCTTAACAGAAACAAATGTCTTGTTAGTGCATATTTCATGAAATGCCCTTGAGATGTACCTATGAAACAATAACAATATAAGTTTTTTTCTTTCTAATCGAAAGACTATTCGCTTAAGTAAAATTATATTTGATCCCACCCCCAAAGTTACTTGTATAACACACACAAGAAAAACCAAGCTTATGTAAATTTAATGAACAAGCATCCTCTGGTCTAAAGACTGACTTCTAGGTGAACTAGCCAGAGGTCATAAAAGTAGTAAACTATTGTTCCCAGCTTTGTCAGAACACACAATTTTCTATGTATTTGAATTATTTTAGACTTTCAGGTGCTTGTTGCTGCATTCCTTTCTTCAGACACAACACAGTATGCCATTTAACAATCAAAATAACATTCACAAAAGTAAATATTGCTAAATATTTCTGCACCTGGGGAGGAACAACCCCTTGCACCAGTACAGGCTTGGGGTGGACCTGCTGCAGAGCAGCTCTGCGGAGAGGGACCTGGGTGTCCTGGTGGATGACAAGTTGAACATGAGCCAGCAGTGTGCCCTGGCTGCCAAGAAGGCCAATGGGATCCTGGGGTGCATCAAGAGGAGTATGGCCAGCAGGTCGAGGGAGGTTCTCCTTCCCCTCTACTCTGCCTTAGTGAGGCCCCATCGGGAGTACTCTGTCCAGTTCCGGGCTCCCCACTTCAAGAAAGATGAGGAGCTACTGGAGAGAGTCCAGCGGAGGGCTACGAGGATGATGAGGGGACTGGAGCATCTCTCCTACGAGGAGAGGTTGAGGGAGCTGGGCTTGTTCAGCCTGAAGAAGAAAAGGCTACAAGGGGACCTAATAAATGCTTATAAATATCTCAAGGGTGGGTGTCAGGAGGATGGGGCCAGACTCTTTTCAGTGGTGCCCAGCGACAGGACAAGGGGCAATGGGCACAAACTGAAGCACAGGAAGTTCCGTCTGAACATGAGGAAGAACTTCTTCCCTCTGAGGGTGATGGGGCACTGGAACAGGCTGCCCAGGGAGGTTGTGGAGTCTCCTTCTCTGGAGATATTCAAGACCCGCCTGGACGTGGTTCTGTGCAGCATGCTGTAGGTGGCCCTGCTTCGGCAGGAGGGTTGGACTAGATGACCCACAGAGGTCCCTTCCAACCCCAAACATTCTGTGATTCTGCGATTCTGTGATACTCACAAATAAAAATTATTTCCTACAAAACACAGGGCCATCAAACTGTTTCTAAGTATTTCCTTGTACTGATCATACTTTCATTTGCATCTTCTTACTCTTAGAATAGTACCAGCCTTGCTTGAATCCAAAATAACTGCTTTTATGTCTTTATGTGACAGGGCTTTGCACAATGGTATGCAACTGTGCATCTACAAATACAGGCAACCCAATATTTAAAAGACACAAAAAAATGAAAAATAAAGTAATACTAACCTGCAGATGTGTCCTGACAAAAGATTTCTTCCCTGTGTAATCAAAATTATTTCTCATTAAGAAGTACAGTAACTGTGAAGCTTCAGTACGAATTGAACTCAGTTTGGAATTACAATACTTCAGAATTTCATAGCACAGTGCAGAACACATATCAGCTCTACCTTCATAAAATGTAGAGGGAAACTGAGGAAAAAGCAGAAAAAAAAGAAGTTATTCATTAAAACTAGCTTCAGTTCTTGATAGAATAAGCATGTGAAGAAAAACACAAATATATTAATATTCCCAAATCGTGGAAAAAAAATAGACAGCTACAGCAGTTCATGACACAAAACAATTTTTACAGTAATTCAAAGGACAATTATTCTACACTGCTGGGATTGGATGAGTCCTTATTCACCAATTTTAATTTTGGATTTTAGTTCTTTAAACTTTTACAGTATATTGTTACCCAAAGAACTGGATAAGTACTTGAAGATTAATTATTTTAGAACTTCTTACCTTAAAAATAAGTGCCCTTAAAGCAATGAAGACATTTTTCAATGCTGTTTCAGATTGATTCTTTTGAAGGAAGCAGAGGTATACATCAAATACTTTCTTCATCAGTGGATTATGCCCATGATCAGTCAGTAGTTGATTCTTTAAATTAACAGTGAGAATTTATGAGTTTTGTACAATGATACCTTTATCAAATCCTAAAAACATACACAGATCATTCAAAAGCAAGAAAAAAAAAATCTGCATAGTATTACCAAGATGTTTAATAATACAAACATATCTGAATTTTAATTAGATATTTCTAGCACTTCATTAATCTTGCTTATAAAATGTTGGCTTCTGAACAGACTTACAGATCACGATTGTCTTTAACAGCTGCTCATTAAATCATTAACAAGTCTTTGAGAGGCATGCTCAAAGTATTAACACACTTCGGTTACCCTGGCTTTAGCAGCTCAGCGGAATTTTCTCATAGTAGTACATCCTACTACAACGCTCTCAAAAAAACTTCCTCCAAACTAAACACCCACCCACTCACTGTCTTTCATTACTGTCCTAGAACTGAAACTGAAAGGGCTTTTAAGAACAAAAATATTGGTTATTTTTCAGAGTTTTACCTACATCAATATTTAAAAGCTCGTTCTGAGGCATGCAATACACAGGGTTACTCCTGATTTCTGTATCACCAACATCTGCCTTCCATCCAAACTTTTTTTTTTTAAAGCTGGTCTCTTCCAGTTTCTCTAGCACAGGTACTGGCTGTGTGTCTACTTTTAACAGTTCATATTGCTTCTGTTTTTGCTGTGAGGACCTGTTTTCTCCCTTTGTCCACTGAGCATATACGCTAGGTTCCTATGGGACTCTAGGATAAAACAATGAGGTCTCTCTTGTTACAAAACACCAAACCAGGTTAATAAATTCAGGGACTGCTCAATCCAGTCCAGGGAGTTCAGAACTGAGAGGACCGTGTTAAGTATTGCTCCCTCTGACTCCTCTGGCCTTCCAACAGGATTCTGCTAGGTCTTACACCTTCTGCAACTCCCCTCTGCACACGCCACTCTTCCTTGCCATTGTTATATACAGGTGTCCAAACGGCACACTGCAAGGCAGCTCCATTACTATCTCAAGTAAGCTTTAACGTAATAGTAACTCTAAGAATCTAGTTTAACAATTTTTTAAAAAAGATTCTTGAGGCCCAGTATAGACCTGGACCCTTGTATCATGCCTTAAGCTTTCTCAAACATGGAAGAGATGTCTAACTGCAGATGTCTCCTTCTCTGTTCACGGAGATGCAAGAAGAAATTCTTCGAGCTAAAGAATTTCAGCACAGCCCTAGGCATTTTGGGTGTTCCTCAGTGTTAAAAAATTGAAGGAGGCAACCCTCCATTAAAAACCATTCTGATAATGTGACTTGCAGACCAGAAAAACTCAGTGTGGCTTCAAGCTTTGTGGATGAATAGATACAACTGTTTGCAGGAGACCAAATATCTCCAAATGCTATGCAGCGAAGCCACAGGCAGGCCATTTTAGCGGAAGCTAGACATAAATGACTGGATATAAGCCAGCCTATGTTTGGTCATAGGAAAACGTTGTACCTCTTGGAACAGTATACAGATCTCAGTAGATCACCCAAACTTTAACACCTCAGTTCCAATTCTAAAAGATCATAAAGCTTACTACTTCCAGATTTATAGCAAAATAATGAAACGTTGTCTTACAAACCCTTATCCTTATGAGGATATTGATATAATACCCTTTCTTCAGATGTCCCAACATCAGAGGTAGGTAGTTCACTAAAGCCACCTAGAGCAGTAGGAATTCACACAGGATCACTTAAAATTCTACCAAGAAGCAGACATAACTTGTGACTTCCATGCTATAAGAGAGATCTGGATTCCCTACTAGTGAAAGACTATCTTGAGGAGAAAAAGTTGTCTGGCTTTCAATATAATATGCTAATTATTCCCAAAAGAAGCAGATTGGTATTGCTAATTTAGTGGCCTTCTATGATGGAGTGATTGCATCAGTGGACAAGCAAAGAGATATATATGTCATCTATCTGGACTTCTGTAAGGCCTTTGATGTTCTTCCCCACAACATGCTTGCCACTACATTGGAACGATATGTGTTTGATGGATGGACTATTAGAAGGATAAGGAATTGGCTGGATGGCTGCGTCCAAAGAGTTACACTCAATGGCTCAGTGTCCAAGTGGAAACCAGTAATGAGTGGTGTCCTTCAAGGGTCTGTACTGGGAACAGTACTAATTAATGTTTTCATCAATGACACAAACAGTGGGATCAAATGCACCCTCAGCAAGTTTGTACACGATACCAAGCTGAGCAGTGCAGTCGGTTTGCTAGCGGCTCCCCTGTAGCGTGCCATCCGGAGGGACCTTGACAGGCTTGAGAAGTGGGCCCATGTGAATCTCAAAGTTCAACAACACTAAGTGCAAGGTCCCACACCTGGGTTGGGGAAATTCCCAATATCAATACAGGCACAGGGGATGAATGGAATGAGAGCAGCCCTGTGGAGTAGAACTTCAGGATACTGGTGGATGAAAAATTGGACAAGAGCCAGCAATGTGTGCTTGCAGCCCAGAAAGCTAATTGTATCATGGACTGCAAAACAAGAAGCACGACAAGCAGGTCAAGGGAGGGGATTCTGTTCCTCTACTCTGCTCTCATGAGACCCCACCTGATGTACTGTGTCCAGCTCCGCAGCCCCCAGCAAAAGAAAGACATGGACATGGTACAGCGTGTCCACAAGACAGCTACAAAAATCAGAGGGCTGGAACACCTCTCCTGTGATGAAAGGCTGAGAGAGTTGGGGCTGTTCAGCCTGGAGAAGAGCAGGTTCTGGGGAGACCTCATGGCGGCCTTTCAATATGTAAAGGATGCTTACATGAAAGATGGAGAGAGACTTTTTACCAAGGCCTGTAGCGACAGGACAAGGGGCAATAGTTTTCAACTGAAAGAGGGTAGGTTCAGATTGGACATAAGGAGGAATTTTTTACGGTGAGGGTGGTGAGACACAGGAACAAGTTGCCTGGAGAAGCTGTGGATGCCCCATCACTGGAAGCGTTCAATGTCAGGTTGAACAGGGCTTTGAGCAACCTGATCTAGTGAAAAATGTCCCTGCCCATGGCAGGGGGGGTTTGACTAGATGATCTTTCAAGGTCCCTTCCAACCCAAACCATCCTATGATTTTATGTATCTTAGTGCATTTGATTGAATAGAAGCTCCTGATTCTCCTACCTGTTTTGTCTGGGTCTTGTAGACTACTCTGGTATACTCTTATCTCCTTTCTTAACATACTGCACATACAATCTTGAAGGACTGTCATTCCAAGTGTGAAGGGCAACTGATAACTAAAAGATTCGTGTTCATTCTTCCTAAAGATTTAAAACTAGGTATCTTCATTTTCAATTCAGTCATGAAGTCTGTGGACAGAACTGGTACTAAACTCCAATTAAATTACTAATGAAAGGAATCGCATTATAAATAAGCTCATGTTTTCATAACTAGATTAAAGATAAGACACTACATTTGAATCTTCAAGCAAGGATCTGGATACAAAGAGGCCCACTGCCCTAATTAAGGGAGAAACAAGCTAGAGATATCATCTGTCCTTTTTGTAGCTTCAGCTTTAATGTTTGGAAAAGCTCAAAAAAACAGACAGGACGTGCTATAGGAAGATACCACAGGAAAGCTACAGTAACTGATAAAACTAAAAAGAAGTCTTATTAATGGACAAACTGAAATTAAGTTACAGAAAAGGAACACACAAATTGCTGTTAATTAATTGAGTGACTTAATACAAGAAGTAGTCAAGTTCAATACAAAAGTCTGATAGTGTCCAATTATGAATTATGGTTTTGCCATACAATAGATCTTTCACCCCACATGGCCTTTAAGAGGCAGTTTTATCACTAATATTAGGTAGACACTAAAGTTTCTAAAATGTTTTTAGCAAGTTAGGATGAGGAAGGAGCTTTTCCCACAGATTACTGCTGATCAGTAAGGAGTCTGTGTGCAACGTGTAACTGAAGCCAACGCATTTGGCTGTGAGAGGTTATCAGCTTTTACATGACACAATAATGACATACAATCCTAGAAATGCTAAACATGCAATGCTATATTACTAGACTATAAAATATACATATAACTTTGACTTTTTTTTTTTTCATTTCTAAAGGTAATTATGGGAGATGTTAACGTCAAGTCAAAAACAAACCTTAAAAGCCATTGTGAATAATGACAGAGTATCCAGAATTGTAAGGCAAACTTCAGTGGCAATATTTGCTTCAAGTAACGACTGGTGAAGAACATCTGCATCTGAATGACCATAGCCTACAGAAATTTGAAATGAACTGTAAGTGCTGGATATACTCATTTGAATGTTTCCTATTTCCAAAAGCCTTGCTGAACTAGGAAAAGATTAACAAGTAAAAAGCTTGAAAGAAGTTAGTATTTAATACAGAAAAATAATTCATATGCATTTAAATATTTTTTCAAATATGTGCATATAATTATTCTAACGTAATTTGCACAAGACCGTAAAATATATCAAGTACAAATGTCAACAACAGAAGCATTAAACAGCAGTTAAAAGAAGAAATGCCTGATGTTTCATATATATGTGTATGTATGCAAGAACACATGCATATATATAAATGTGCACAGTTATACATATACACATATATATTCTTAAAGTAAGTACTGCAGTAGGATAGAGTTACAGCTGAAAATATGTAATGGCAAATTAATGATGTTATAATGATCTCAAAGTCAATCATAAGTCAACCATTCTAAAAATACAAAACACTGAGAGTTGAAGGAATACAATCATTTACTTCTACTCAGCTGAAGACCCAAGAAATTAATTCTGCTCTGTAGCAATACCATGCAGTAACTCCATATTTAATAAAAATATTTTATCACTTCTAGCTCCATACTGTATTTGAATAATTTTAAAAACATATCCTGCTTCAGCACTGGTCATAATATGTTGTTTACGCTCCCTAACATTGATCTTTAAGAACCAGATTCACAAATGTACCCTGGTTGCTTTATAAAAATTTGGTCTGGATCATGTTTATGTGTTAGATTTACAGTCAATTTAGCATCACTAAATCAATGACAAACATTACAAACTTGTTGAGACCAAGAAGAGAACAGAAGAAATGGCATATTCTTTTGTAATGACACCAGACCACTTCTTTCTGCACCTTCTTGCTCCTTGGCTGCATACCCATAAACAGCAGTTTCTTTGGATTTATACATTCTTAATGTTAGGAAGTATAGACCTCTTTCCTATCATCTTCTGCATTCTCTCTGCCACCTCTTCCTCCTCCCATGTATTTTCTTCGTGGTTTCAACCCAGTTACATCCTTCCTCTCTTTAATTATGGAAAGGAACAACTGGCATTTGGAAGGAACTTTTCACACAACAGCCATTTGCCAGATATTTTAATTTTACTAAAAGTGCTCTTTTTCTTAAAGAAATTCAAAGAGAAATCCTTTTTCATAGCAACCACTTTTGGGTGACCAGAAATCCTTAAGCTAGCATATGGTTTCAGTAATGTTGAAGATACCAAGAGACTACGACTGTTTTGAGAACTGCATTGAGGACAGGGGAAATATTCTTTAAAGGAGGAATTTGTTTGGTCTTGCAGATTCTGAAATTTCTCAGAGATGTGAAATATCCGTTGCACCTTTACTTTGGTTCTATTCCTTGCTTAAATTATTAGAAAGAGAGAAATTAAGTTTATAATTTACATTTACATGCAACTACCTTGCCAAAGAACCATGGTTTCAGAAACAAATAAAGCAACAATTTCCACCAGATACATCCTTCCTTTATGTATCCCATGCAGGATACCCACAAGGTTTATCGAAGTTCTGAAAACTGCTTTGGATACATGATACAGACAGACTGGCAACTAAACAAAACTAAAAGTTAGACAACAACAAGACCAAAGATATAAAAATTGATTTCACATTTGACATGGCTTTTATAGGAACATATTTGCACCTTGTAAAACCTTGGTCAATACAAGGTGTAATATCTTGATATTCATTAAGTGTCCAACAGCAAAAAAAACCCCACAACCTATCACCACTTTACGCAAAGTTATCTGAGTAAGACACCTTACTTCACAATTTCCTTCAGATGGAAAAGAACAGAAAGTTTCTTTTTACATAAGCATGCATTTATTAAAATCTTTCAGCTCACTGTTTCCTACAAATCAGTAAACTTTCCCAAGTTCCGGAAGTATGCAATCTCTTTGCACAGGGCCCAGAAACAGATGTTTTATTTATTTGCCAGATATTTGTTTAAAAAAAATCAGTCTTTATCTACAAAGTATTTTACCTTACTGAATGTTCAGTCACATAGTGTAAAAGCTCTTTTGTGTATCAAAAAACACCTCGAAATTATCACGATACAGCAGTAGCAGACTGATTACAAGAAAAAAAAAGTAATTTGCACAGCTATATAGTTTTCTGACATTTTTAAAATCAAAGAACTGCATTTCTTATATTTAAACAGGTATGAGAATGCATTTATAAACACAGGGTTTTGGTGGGATTTATTCAGTTTTACACTAGACTGTGGTAAATCTTGTGCAATCAGGCTAATTGTTGCTTTAGATTACAGATAAATGAGCTAAAAGATTTTAAGGGACAGTTAGATATGGTTTGGGAAATAAAAGGATGAACACAGTGAACATACAGTTAATTCAAATAATTGCTTTACTGCATACAATTCTTTTCAGTACCACTGTTGTATTTTATTGGATTAGTCAACCACTTTCATTGTTTTTCGAAGCTGAAAATTGAAAAATGGTGCTTCAGAATACTTTACATACAGTATATGTTGCAATTTAAGAGCAGCATGTTTAAGAAGATAGGCCACAAGCAGATTTAGCTTTCATTACAGCAGTCTTATACAAGCTGACTTCAACCTGATTAAATCTTACCATTGTCTACAGAAATTCCAAGAATACTTGATATCTTTCTCACACTGAAAACAGAAAAATCACTTCATTATTGGACGCTTTTTCACTTCCAGACAAACCAAATCATGGGCTTCACAATCTCCGTAGAAATTCTAAGAAACTTATTCCTCCTTAGGGGATGTCAAAACATGGAGATATGGTCAGAATGCGTATTTTTACTTTAAGACTAATCTTTTATAAGATCAAGTGGGGAAATAAAATGAAGCTTAATAAAGTGAATAGAAAAAATAAGTAAATTTTGTAACTACGTGCAGCACAAAGTTAAGCGCATATAATTAAAAAAATTAAAATACAGTTTTAAAACACGCTGTAGTTAACCACGCTCCATGTTATGGCATCAGCCAGCACTGATTGTTCTCTCATAAAGCAGGGAATAGACCATTGACCGATTCCAGCTATTTGTTTGACCTAGAACAATAAAAGTCATTGAAATGCACTGGTGTGGCTCTGGGACGTGTCTCTGGTGTTGTGGTACTGGTTGAGGATGATGAATGTTATCATGTAGTGAGACTTACTGTGGTTAAAAGTGAGAGAGTTATCCAGGCTGCTCAGCTGCTGCAATCTGGCATGCATCATTCCTGTTCTGTTACGGGAAACAGGCAATGTCTGAGATTTTCGATCATGAACTATGGATCCCAACCCCTCCTGGTTCCTGCAAGATGGGTGAAATGGGATAGAAGCAAAAGTTAGACATGTCAAACTGCAGCAAGACAGGAAGTGTTAGTTAAGCACAGGCAGTTTTATAGAAAGAATTATAATGCGACCTATTTACTGTTTTATTTATAAAACAAAAATAGGTTGCTTAAAAAAAAAAAGCATCACAGCAAACTCTTTCTTAAAACCTCAAAGCATGAAAGCAAAAGCACACAAGCAGTCGCTCCTGAAGTGCTAAATTTACTTCAGAGCTATTCAAAACATAAATATTTGAGAATATAAATATTCTGAAAATAATCAGAACTCAAAACCAAATCGTCTATTTTGATTGTAAATATTTTAGAAAAAAAGTTAGAAGGACACAAGGTGGTAAAATTAGAAAGCATACATGCAACCGGAGAGCAGGAATTAACTGAGGTATTATCATGTACATCTTACCCAAGCAGGAAGGGAGAAGAGCCATATACTTTGTTAAACTTGCAGCAATCAAGTGAAGAAAACAGAAAAGTGATCTGTGTTAGCAATCAGTATAGGCTAACTTCCTATTGAGTACCACCACCAGAGCTGATGAAAAATGAAAACCAGTGCTTGAATTACTGAATTCCCTGTTCCCTTTCACTCTGTCATTTGTGTATTTTAAGAGTACGTGCATTGATTGTGATAGACTTCAGTGTAATGACAATGTGAAAGACTAGAAAGCCACTTTTCCTGGGAAAATTCAGTATCTCTGGAGAGCACCAGATGATTTCTACAGCTTAATGTTTTTAGTGTTAACATGCAGTACAGAGACTAAGTGATCAGTAAACAAAAAGGAAGCTTGGCAGTCTTCTCTACAAACTAGTCAAACAAATTAGTTTGAAGAATTTCCACAAAAAGCCTGAAAATTAGAGACCCCTGTAAATCCAGGGTTTGAAGTACATTTAAACATAAAGGTTACAATCAAAACCTTAAGAAAGCCATATTTAATTTGGCCTTTGATTTTTTTAGGGTATGTGAACAAAGATGAGAGGGGCGTGTTTTTTTTTTTTGGTTTGTTTTTTTTTCAGAAAAAAATCTCCAAGGACATAGTCAAGTTTGTTGTTTGTAGAAAGAGATGCACATACCATTAAATCTAAAGTAAAACCAAAAAAGCTGACATTTTAATTAGAATCATTTACCACCCAAAGACAGTGACAACTTTATCACAGGAGCTAGCATTTCAACCCCACAGGTTTAATTATAACGGTATTACCATGTCAACCTTGGTATAAGGCCTAAACAAGTTGCTATATTTTACTCTATTAGAAAACTACTTCGCCTTAAAAAACACATAAATGCAAAGATATTAAAATAATTTAGTACTTGTTTCTGACTCCCACAGATTTTCTCCTAAAGAGCCTTCAGTGGGAATGCACAGGTATCTAATGGTACTTCAGACTTCGAATTGAAAACCAGCAGCGTTAGAATGTTCACTAATCACCTTTCAAAAAAAACACTACATACAACATTTCTAAAACATTTCAACAGATATGGTTTTATGGCCAAGTGAATAAACAAAACAATTAAGTCATAAAATTTCTTCCCCAAAGACATTATTTCAAGGAAAACAATGTTGTAAAACATAGCATGTAAGGGTTGGATTTTAAAGTAATTGATCATAAACGCAACACATGCACATCATTCTTAAACAGATACCAGACTTCCAGACAGGATACAGATTTGTTAACTCAGTAACCAGCTACTTACTTCAAACTGTTATGCATCATTTCACAATAACTCTTCTACTCATGCAATTTATTTGTAATAGAAATTCAAGGCATATTGTACACACTACTATTCTTAGTGAACAAGACAGCAAAATTTAAATTCCACACAGTACCTGGCTATGTATCGTTTTCCCATGTACTGGAACTGATGTAAGCATACTCTGCAGAAAACACATAAGTCAGAGAAGCAACGCTTAAAACAATCTCTTCTAGATTTATGTACATTGGAATTATTCAACTATCATTTTTCTTAAACTTTAAACTCTTACGTCATATAACTTCTTTATTCCTCCCACTATTAAAATTCCTTTCCAGTTCCCAAGCCAAGAAAAGGTAAACATGGCTCTTCTGACATCAGCCACAGACAGCTGCTGCTTTGGGAAAATTAGGATTAATAGCAAAAGGCACATAAAGCTGCCTCCAGAGTGCACCTATCTCAACACTCAGAATCAAAGCAGCTAGTGCGTGTCTAACAGCGACAAAGTAGAAGAGCCAAAAGGTGAAAAAACAAAACACCTTAGAACTCACTATTTACAGTTTTCAAGTGCTTCATCTTGTCTAGTTTTTATCATTTATAGAGAAGAAATCTTTAGCCTCAACTATCATAGACAAAATTTCATTATGTGAAATTAGGCTTGCAGTTACAGTTATTTAAAAATGAACAGCATTCCAGTACAAGTAACATGCAGGACAGAAACAAAGAGATAACCAGACATTACATATATACACATATTTTGCAAAATGTGTATAAAGGTTCAAAATAAGTGCAATACATTTTGCTCCCCCTCCACCCCCCGGCCTAAACTCTCTTGGTTACAGGCTAGGTTCTTTTGTTTTGTTCTGTTGTGGTCTTTTTTAAGGTTTCCAGATTCCAGGATAACAACAACAGGGTTTCTGACAGAACTCTTTTCTAAAGGGAATCTGCTTTCACAATAAGATGATGATAAAGGCAAATCCCCCCAAATAATTTTTCATTTAAAAAATCTACACTTCAATATGATCTTATATTTTAAAGACTCCTAATACTACTGGTTCAGATCCAGCAAGAAAGTTGAAAGTATAACCTGATTTGCCAGGTGCCTCTGCTTGTCTTCACAACTGGCAAGTACACAACACTGATGTCTAACAAACCAGAAGTCACTCTTTCAATTCAAGAAAAATAGTGTGAATGGAGGCTATAATAATGATTTGACTCTTTTCCCACTGTAAGTAATTATCTTGATAATTTAGAACACTCGATGAAACTTCCCTCATCCCTTGGGTAAGAACATTCTAAAAGTTCTTCTTTAAAGTGAAAATCCAAACTGAAAGCCAGTTTTCAAGATTTCTCTTCTGTGTGCCAGTTGTGAACCAGGGAGAAGACTGGCAAACAGTCTCTGCAACTCAGCTCCCATTTCATACTCAGAACTTAAGTAGATTAGCTGTCTCCAAACTGCAGAGTCAGAATGGTGTTTTCCTCCCCCAGAACTGTCCCTGTATTTGCAAACTAACCTTAATTCACATTTCTCATATCTTTTTTAGATTCTAAGTTTCAGAAAAAGTTCTTTGTCTGGCAAGTACCTACCTACCAGAAACGCTGTCTTACTGAGGTAACAAGAAACTACCGTAATGACCTGTATTAATAAAAATCACCATCAAAACAAACATTATTTGCATTGGCAAAATAATCCTGGCATCAGAAGAGGGAGACTTTTATAAGTCATGCTCCTGCTCTAGTTTAAGGAACTGTGATACCATCCACTACACTAACAAGATGAAAATTTTATTCCATATTCCATATACTGCTATTGTGATGGAAACCTTCTTTGATAATTAGTAATTCGAGATGACTGATTTGGTCACAAACCACTTCTATTCAGACCTTAAATCAGAAGTCTCTAATGGCAAAATATTGTTCACCACTGATTCTGTACAGTTTACACCTCAGGCTTCAGAGAGTCTACTAAGTAAGCTCATTTACTTGTTCAGTTCTATCTCTGATACAATCAGTATTGTGCCAGTTGTACTCAAATGATGAGTTAAAACACTAGCTACAATCTATTCCTAAAATACACCTCGAGTAGGACATTCCATAACACAATTAACGACTGACAGTACATGACATATTAGGGGACCTAATAAATGCTTACAAATATCTCAAGAGTGGGTGTCAGGAGGAAGGGGCCAGACTCTTTTCAGTGGTGCCCAGTGACAGGACAAGGGGCAATGGGCACAAACTGACAGCCTGCTGTAGGTGACCTTGCTTTGGCAGGAGGGTTGGACTAGATGACCCACAGAGGTCCCTTCCAACCCCTACCATTCTGTGATTCTGTGATTGCCTGAGCCATTGCTACAGAAACAAAGGACAGCAGTCCAACGAAAAAGTGAGGCAAGCAGAAAGGCTTCTGTGGTGCACCGCTTCCAGCAAACAACGCCTTCTTCACTTTTTATTAATGTATCAGCCAATTCTCATGAACCAACACACCAAGGGATAGTGTAGGGTGCAGGCAGAGCAATGGAGCATAGCCACTGATAACAAATACTGGATTCATCCTGCATCTTTTCCCTTGCAGAACAGTAGAAGGCACAAGAGGAATGCTAGGAGGATGGTTCATATCCCTTTGTTATGCAACTCAATCAATTTTGATATGCAAGCCTGTAATTTCAGCAGTTCACATTACAAGATGCATTTGAACACAGACAGGTAACAAGACAGTTGGTTCCTCTTCCATGAGCACAGCAATATTCTGAGCACTACTTGCTGTTTAGGAACTTCCTGAGATCACTTCCGTACAGCCTAATACCAGAAACCATCATAGAATTGGACAGACATGCAATTGTCCACATCAAATTAAGGACTTCTAAACAGACCAAGACGGCATTATTTTTTCAAACAAATAAAGAAAAATGTATATACACACTTGTATCCACACTCATGTTTTTAACTGCATAGTGACATGTACGAATTTGTGACAAATTGAACAAAAAAATCTTACTCTGTAATCGTGAAAAAGTCCATGAGTTCAGATTTTGTAGCCTTGTTCCAATATGTAAACAATGCATCTAGGAAAATGAAAAATATTAAAAACAAGAAAAAGGCAGCAAACACACAAGAATATTAAGTAGAAGAGTTAATTCAGTTCTTGGTTTTCAGATAATGACGTTTAGGGGAATCTAAACATGGCCTGTGGGATACAGATAACTATTACTATTTAAAGTTCTTGAAGCTGGTTATACAAATGCACATATCAATTCTCCAAATGAGCTTCTACGATATGCTTTTAATTAATCCATACTATTCCCATACAATTTTGTATTTTAAATAATAACAGTTGTGTCATCTGTAGTGACTACAGTGTTCTAAAATATAAGACTTCAGAATACTTTGGATTATTAGTCCTATAACTTGCTTCTTTATAGATTCAGCTCAACATTTTTTGAATTCAAATTTATGATTTCTTCTTTTTTAATTTACAACGCCTTATTATGGATAGTTTTTCAGCACAGGTTTCAGATTTTCTTTGTTTGCACAGATTTAAAAAATGGCTACATATTTTTTTAAAAAGCTTGCAGTTACATAGCCAAGACCTGGTCTCTTTTGCCAAAAACATTCAACACTAGCAACACATTCAAGATTATTACTAAGATGTGTGGAAAAGTTTATTTGACACTTGTTCTTTTCCAGGAGAATTTAAACCAAAAAAACCCCACTCTGCTTATGTGTGTAATTTTAACATTAATTTCCTAGAAATTCTGACTATTTTACATCTTTCAAAGAGTAAAACAGCAAAAAATATATTTTTGGGTTTTATTATTCTTTGTAATTAATACATAAAATAATACCTATGTAATTACATGAAAAACCTAACAGTGTGACTGGACATTGAATACTTATTATGCTTTCAATTCTCGTTCTTGATTAAGTGGTGTAGTAAATTGGAGTTCAAGGACTACATAAACTTGATTTTTAGAAATGAACTTAAAAATAGGCACAGAAAATAATTAACTACTTTTGATGTGTTTAGCACAAATTGAAAAATTCAATGTTTTTACCAAAAGGGACTTGCCTTCTTTCTTAAATAGGGATGATTCCAAGTTGTATGATCCTAATTAAAAAATCAAGATTTGCCATTCACGCACTATTTCTATATCTCTGCAACCTTCTTCAGGATAATATGACTTTCAAAAATCCAATGGATCATCTCACAAACATCCCAAGAGAATGAAGAAGCACTAGTATCCCCATTCCAGCAATGGAAACACACACAGCAGTCAAATAATTTGGTTCCCTGTCATATAGGAAGTTCTGCAGAACGGAGGAGTGGACTAGCCCAAAACTCCTCTACCGACCAATGAACTAATATTCATCTCCATTTCCCAAACCTGACTGTACAATCACACGCAAATACTGGCTTTCTTACCAAGTCTTTTAGTTAGCCTCCTTCTTTGAAGGAATAGTGAATATTTAATGCTTTCAAGGTTTCGATCAGAGTTTAATTTGATCACTCACACATTCGTAAAATGCAACACAACATGGCACCTACACCTAAAACACTCTGCTGATTTTGAAAAGGTATTCAAATCACAGGCATAAATCCAACATATGATTTCAAATTTCTGAAAAAACGGTGGAATTACCTACCTTCTGACATACTTCTTAAAATGTGAAGGAAACACATGAGCAGACTCTTGATCTCTGCTTGGTCCAGTTTGTCATATCGAACTACAGAACTTCCTAAAGTGCTGCTCTGTTGATTCTGAAAAGAAAACAGACATATTTTGGCTGCAGAGCTCTTAAATTGACAATAAAGTAAAATGTTTTAAATTGCCTTACTAATTCCTGCAACAGAAAAAGGATCTCAGAACGGAGACAAAAATGTTTCATGTAGAGACAGGTCACTAAAACACACATAACACACATGAAGTATACCAAATTAAGCCTCTTTACCTTTGTTCATTTTAATTTCCTTTTTTATACAACCCCCTCCCAGAGGAAGGAGTAAGAGAAAAAGTTAACAGTGATTATTAATCAAGCTAATTACACATAGATACCCACATTGTAGAGAAATCAGGCATGCCCCTTCTGCTTAGATGAAATACTTTAAAAATAAATGCTACTGTTAGGCGATACATATATGCTCCTATACTTTTGAAGGGACTTTATGCTGCACTGTAGACAGACGAGACTCTACAAAATTCCTTCCACTTAAAGATTTAAGAACTCCAAGGAAAACATACATGAATGGCAATGATACGCATTCCAGAAGAACTACTGACAAGTAACTTGCCCTTGCTTTAAAAAAACCCAAGCAAACAAACCAAAAAAACCCCACAAAAAAACCCCCAAAACCCCCAAAACACCCAAAACCACCAACCCAACAACAAAAAAACCCAACCTTTCTCCCTGCTTCATTTGTTCATACAATTCCTACACTTGTGGGCAGTTAATCAGCAATACTCAATACCAAAGTCTGTCCAAAAAGAAAAAAAAAACCCTATGACTGATCTTTCAAAATGTGTACCACAAAAAAAGGAAAAAATAAAACTATGAGAATATAAAAATTGAACTCTAGGCAAAGACTTCTCTGCAAAAGAGTAATTTCCACACAATCAAGTGTCAAAAAAATTCTCAGCCGGAGGCTTTTACGATATGCTCTATAAATGTTTGTTTAAAGGATAAATGATGCCCTTCTTAGTGTCTAATTCTCACTTCCAATATGAAGCCACTTACGTGAATGCAAAACGAACCACACCTTTAATAAGTTTTCTGTAAAGTCAACAGTTTGTACAATTGATCTGTGCAACTCTGGTTTCTACAAGAAAGGTAGATCATCTTGGCTCCATGACCTTATTAAGGACACATAGCAGTGTCAGAAGAAATCCTTCATATCAAAATTATAAAACAATAAAAACAGAGTCAAGGGAGAAAAGCACTTGGTTTCACAAACAAAGTGAGAAGTGCCAACACCTCAAGGGTAGAACAACCCTTCTAAAGCATGAGACATGCTAATCCATGAGGGAACATTCCACAGCATACACATCCATTGACGGCTGAGCCTTTTAATGCATCCCAAGTAAAAGGAAAGAATCGCTGTCCTAAAACAAGCTGGGCAAACCTGTCACATATTAGCCATTGAATGGATGCACAGTGGAACTGAATGTGAAACTATGATCAATACTAGCCAGAATTTACTGCAAGTTAAGAGCAAATGGACAGCTATATAAACCTGATGACTGCAGATTCTAAAGACCTCACAAACTCTTTATCTTCGAAATATCTCTGGTGAACAAGGAGGTGCTACCACGCAGCTTTATGGATTCTGAAATAGAGCTGGCAATTAATGGGTGGCAGAGCAGAAACAGAATTTGAGTTTCCTAGATTTCAGGATACTGTCCAGAGCACTAGATAATATTCCCTCTAAAGTAGTTGAACAAAACTATGACTATCGCTACTCACAAGCTTAATTTAAAATCCTGTAAATAACCAAGAAAGTCTGCACATATTAAAATGGAAACTGACACACTTCCAGTCAATTCTGATTCCACAAATATAGTTCTACAGGTTATTCTGAAAGAAAATTAGAACAACAACACGGCTCTCCAATAATGATACCAAGCAATGAGGAATAATATGAAGATAAGGTGCACTGAACAACTGATTTACTAGAGAGAAAGTTTGGAAAGCAACGAATCGGAAGCCAGGATGAAGTCTTATTCAGGGAAAATACTAACAGCATGCAAAACATAAATCCTGTATTACCTAAATTGGCAGACCAGAGTAGGATTTTCAAAGGATATTGACTCCTTTGAAAACCCTTTTATTTGGTAAAAACACTACACGTTAGTAATTAACAACATGACAGCTAAGTAATAGATGACAGCATTGCCATTTAGCAACAGTGTATGCATAAAACATTTATTTAGATTTTTTAGTTCTACTTCTATTAGAGACCTTAAGACTCAAATTCTGCTGACATTTAAGCTGATTGGATTTTTATGATTAAATCATGTACATGAACTTTTCCAGGTTTGGCATTTCATGGCATTTTACATGGTTACATTGTCTAAATTTGCCTTGAGATTCAACTGTTGCAAAGAAGTGGCAAAACTACTGATCACACACTTCACTCAGAAGCTTAACTATACCAAGCACAAAAAACAAATACTTCTTGTAACTGAAGAGAGAAAGCAGCATGCAAAATTTTCTCTGGCAAAGCTGGAATTGTCAGAAGTGAAAAATCCATAGTAACACGTTTTTTCCTTGCAGGGTGAGAATTTTCTTCTTCTTCTTCGTTAGGGCGCATAGCATGAGCAGAGTGCCTTCTGAGAAGCTTCTCTCTCTGCCACACGAAGGCATGTCAGAGTCAAGGGGAAAAAGTTAACATGTTGTGACTTGCACAACAAGATCCAAGAAAATGAAATGTGATGAATATCAATACAAGCTCTAGAAAGACATGACTGAATACCTCACAGCTACTGCAGCCAGAGCTCCTAATTTGTAACAGCTTTAAAGTGAAACGATTCAGAAAAGTCAAACTAATATAAAAGAAATCACCTAGAGAAAGCACAGCAACTGGTCTTTAAATGTTTTAAAAATGCTGCATATAACGTGTATAGAACAGGATGAAGGTCTCCACAAAATCAAAGAAGCTATCCTAACTAGAATTCAGATATCTCAAGCAAAATTCAATACACTTCATCTAGTGCCTTTCTCCAGCAAAGCAAACAACTGCTTATTGATATTTCTACATTGAAAATCTTTTTCTATTTTCTGCAAAACAGCTTAATAAATGCAATGTAAAGAGTTCATACTACAATTATTTTTAAAAAGAAAAAACAGACGTAAAATTCTGCTCTACAGTTATTCTAGAAAGCCCATTCCCGATGGAGATTACAGAACTTAACTATTATGAGAATTAACATGAAATTTCAGGAATTCACTTTGGGTTTTTTATTTTGGTTTGTTTTTTTTACCTTGTCAAGGGAATTGCTCTTCTCACTGTGTCTTTCTGGTAGACTGTTTCCCGAGTCTGTACTTATAAGAGAGCCTCTTGAGTCAGCACTCCTCACGCTATTAATATTTGGAGTTGATGTGGTGTATGGGGAAGCTAAAAAAAACCCAAAAGAATATAAAATCTCAAACAATACCTATATTGAAAAAAGTCACTCCATAGTTTAGTCACACTTCTAAAAAAATACATACATATATGGTGGTTTTAAGGCGGCAAATAATTAACTCCATTTAGTTACTTTTAATGAAGACAAACTTATTCTAGAGTTTCAGCAAAGTATACCTGCGTGTACATACACAGACTTACGTACAACTACATACACGCATGCGTAAAATACATACGTAGCAATACATACACGCTTACATGAAGCAGCATGTATATTTAAAAAAATTCCCCTTCCTCATTTTTTATCTGTTCTTGGTGTTTGATTTTTAAGATGACTAGTAAGTGACACAACTAATTACAGCACACAACAACAAACAGAAAAACGCTTTAAGACGACAGACAGGAGGAAGGCCGCAGGTGTGTGCAAGCAGCACTCCACTTAGGGGTGGTCTCTAATATCATATATGAAATCGTGGATTATGGTACTCTTGCCATAAGCAACTTAGGCTAGTCTCATCTTCTGTTTCTCTGTAGCAAGACAAGAACTATCACCTTTGACGGGGCGGGGTGGGGGTGGGGTGGAAAGCAGCTCCCTCCTGGAAACAGCTTTAGCTTCAAATAGAAAAGAAAAGCCAGAAAGATCCCAAAAGAAAGATTTCATGTGTAGGCTGTGAATTCTGGCCCATGCTGAACAGCTGATTGCATTTGGGCTCTGTTAATAAAAGTAGCAATAACATTCAAGTATGTATGCAGAAAGCAACCAAAGTTGGACACAGAACACTTATTTCTGGTAACAAATGAAAAGGGAAACTGTTTCCTTTTTAAATTATTTTATTTTATGTTTTATGTGCTTACCAATGCCAGAGATAACACCAAACAGATCTTTAGGAAGATTGTTATCCAATGTGTTTCCTGATTTTTGTGGTGTTACTAGCTGACTTGCAGTTGGCAAATTAAGTGCATCATCCTTTGCACTCTGCTCGGAAAAGAGAAGAAAATGTGATTATTGTTTTCCGACATTATGGATTTAGTGAAACTTACATACTTTATCTTCAAGAACAGTATTTGCTATATATTTCTTTCTTAAATTTTAATTTCTATTAAATATGCTCAAAAGGATAGAATGAGATGTTCAGGTATTTGCACAAGCTTGGGATAGCCTAAAACTTTAGGTACCTCAGGAAACTTTGAAGAAATGAATATTCCATTGAATCTTAAGCACCATAAACCAGACATTTCCAAAAGACCGAAATTACTTTTATTTCAAACAGACAAACGTTTCTCTTGTTGGAAGGGTATTGTGAATTTCTTTCTTAATACCAAGTGGAACATAGCAAGATATGGACAAAAATAAAATACACTAATAATTAAATCTTGGATTCAACAATTGTTTGTAACTATATCAATATACATCTTCACAAATTCCATCTGAATTCATTTTCCCGTAGCCCTCTTACACTACAGATGTTCCAAAAGCACTCTCCTTTAAGATTAAAAATTCTCCTCTAATTTCTCAAAAATTAAATAATTTATTTTGTGGTCTATTTATTTCAGTGTTGGACTGAATTGGAAAGTAAGATTTAAAAAAAAAAATCTACCACCAATATACAATCTTTTCTGCTGAACAGAAACAGCAGCTACTGGATGTGTTGGGAGTTTAGCGAACATAACTAACACTCTACATGCTAGATGTCAGGGGAGTATCCTCTTGCATAAAAATTAAATATGTGCAAGTGCCTCCAATGCCAGGAACTCCAAGAACAGAGGCAAACTGTTTATACAAACTAGCAAGTAGACTAAAGAGAAGTGTAATTTTTGAGTGAAAACCAGAGACATTTAAATGAAATCTCCTCTCACAAAAAGTGGATCAAAACTGGTTAACAGATACAAGAGGAAGGCCATCAAATTGCAGAAACAACTGACATTTTTTACTTCAAATACACCATTCCTTCAGCTTCTTTGGCTGCTCCTAGAACACTCAAAAAGGTGCAGCGTGTCCAATCCTGTGTGGTCTATAGTTTGTGCTGAAATATAGGCAGATCCACTAGAGATACAGGAAAAACAAGATCTTACATGGCAGTACGATCACATGTCATTAGAATGATGCTGCGGCCTAGCATTCTCCAAAAATCTTCAGAGGTTTAAGGAAAGATGAATAACGGCACTGTAACCTGTATGTAGGACCAAACTAGCCAATTATCATTACTTATTATAACTTAGCTGGACCAGAGAAACTGCAACCAAAACCATGAGGGTTAACTAAGCTTGTAATCTTCTAAAAAGCAAGGAGCATGAACTCACAGAACTCCGAAGCTTATGAAACTCTGTTTGCCAGAAGTATGCAGTGTTCCATATACAAGTTACCAATAAATTGTTAAAAAAAAATTTCAGAATATCATATAGAAATGGTCACTCACGTTGCTGGAAGGGTTAACAGGAAAAGGAGACACATCTTTAACATTGATTCGCTGAACATTTTCTATGAGCAGTCCAAAGAGTGGCAAATACATAGTGGCTATTCTTGCCTGATGGCTCTAAATAGAGTTTAACAATTCATTAACAAATTACAGTTGAATTTTTAATCACAAATTATTTTTTTAAGCTATTCACTCCTAAGTTACCAAAAAAAGGAGCATTTAATAAATACTTGCCAAGCCAGAGCCCACATTCAGAAGGTCATAAATGGCAAAAGCAATGATAATCACTGTATTTCATCCTAACTTACAGAAGGTCAATAGGTTTTATTTACTGTTTCAATATAATGCAGAAAAACACCCCCTAAATTAACGTGATTTTAGCTAAGACTAACCAAGTAAACTAATATTATGTTAGCTTCATAAATTAATGATCCCTTCCACTAAAATTTTATGGCTTCTCCATAGCTGATGTTAAAAGAAAGTCAGGAAAATTAAAAATCACTCAAATTTAATACCATGACTTGTGGCTTTCTTATACTAATTTTACAAATAATAGATGATGGAAGGACAGCTGCCAAATATTAAGGGCTAATGTTTAATGAAAATAAGAGCTTTAAAAAGTTCATAAAAATCTGATTACTTGAAGAACAACAGTTAGATTACACTATAGTAAAATGTGATAAATACATGTAACTGTTAAAAATATGGGATTTGCAGATTGATTTCGATACAATTTTCATAGATACTTTCATCACAGTCTGAACAGAAATAGCACTGCTGCAAATTAACAAGTTTTTTTGTGAAAGAAAAAAACTTTGGGTATGTGTGCACACTTAATCTTTATTATTTTTCACTACTAGCATAACAATACACTTACCCTGGAAGCATATCTGTCATCAAAACAATGTTTTATCATCAAATTCTTGAGCACACTGATAGCAATTTGCCGCACATCTCTGAACTCTTGCAATGCATTGCCCACCTCCCTTAGAAGCAGTCCCACTAAGAAATGATTTAGACAGAACTCGTCGGTTAATGAATAGTCCAGGTGAAGGTCTGGAAGTAAAGTACAAGTTCTGTGTAAGGAATGGTATTATTTAAATCAATTTATCAATTAACTTTATGGTGAACTAAAGTGTTTCCAACGTTATTGACAAATTCATATATGTTCATATATATATATAATCATAGTTATTCGTATATTCCAAGCCCAATTCACTGCATAATGATGTAGTTATTAAACAGACAACGATGATGTCTAGTCAATCAACAGAAGCCGGAGAAATCTAAATACATTATTTAAAAAAAATATTTTAAATACTGTCCAGTATTCAAAAGTGTCCCTATTCAATTTACCTGGACCAGCATGTTATAGCTGCAAGTCAAATTTTAAATTTATATTCAGGCACTGAAAAAACACACAATGATTTTATTGTGCACATTGTATCTTTCAGGAATTTAGTTGTATGGTAGAAGGAGAATTTAATTTTTAGTCTGTGGCAGAGTCCCAGATTAGTAAATTTGCAAAACGTGGATTAAGAAGTTTTAAATTTTGGTACTGCAGTTTTAAGTTCCTTCTTCATTATCTTCTACATGTATCTATTATGAATATATTATATAAAGCCTGCTAACAACTGTGATCTTTGTTAATTGATATTCTCTAAGAAAATAGTCCTGAAAACCTGCAGTATGTAGTAAAGGTGTAATGAAGAGACTGCATTTGAAACACACATGTCCAAATCAAGACATTTCTTCTCAATATATCAGAACACAAAAGGACACAATAATATTTAAACAAGATAATTTAAATGAATCTATGGAAATTAGACCTGCATTGTAATGCAATAGGCACTTTTTCTGCTACAATTAAACAATACTATATTTTCCAGAGATATTTATATATTCAGGGCTGATTGCAATAAAATTGGAATTAAAGAACATTTTATTCGAACATTTGTGCTTAAACCTCTGCAATGCAATTTCATAAAGTATTTCTGGTAGTAACAAATCATACACTAAGCCCCATACAGATATATAGATATTATATAGACACACAACACCCCTGGCACATCTGACAAAGCAAAATCAAACTTCTCCCCTTTAGAAGTATTTTTAATCTAATAAAATAATCCAGTTCATTTATGTACTGAATATACAGCAGCTTAAGAGAAACTTCAGCTTGAAGATGTTATTTATTAGAATGTGTACATGTTTAAATCTTCAGCTGAGGTGTTCAAGAGTTTCTCATATTCACTGCCACTGTTCAACGCAATAGTCAAAAATCAGATGCTAATCTCAAAGCACCTTAATTTTTCAAAGAACTCTCCCAGTAAGGGAATCCATTAAGTCAGAAAGAAACATAGATAAAACAGCACAGATGTTCCCCAGGCCTTCTTGTAACTCAGTTAAGAGCCAAACACATCACCCAAGATCTCTTTTGCTTGAGACAGCAAAACAGAGCCAGAAACACCTGATAAAGATCGTCTTTGCTGGCTGAACTCCTAGTTCACCAACGAGCAGCATTTTACACTGTTCTCAGAAACACTATTTTTTCTAGTCTAGCTCTTTTTTTAGGACTCCTAAACCAAAAACCAGTTCCATTCTACAGAAATACTTATGCAGTGTTATTATCCAAGACACTCCTGCAGGCTGAAAAAGCCAAAGACAGAAACAAGTTCTATGCAGCTGTCCAGCTCTTAGTCCCAATTCTTGTTCCACCATCTTGATGAAAGCTTTTTTTAGTTATACTTAACTTTACTAAGCCAGTAGAGTCCACTGAATAATTATTTCTGAAAAAAAAACACCCTAATCTATGAAACCATAAATTGCTAGGCAGGTTTACTTGTTACTTGCAAAAGCACCTTGGTCACCTCTGCTTATTTATGTCTGCTATAGTTCAATGCCTGGAAGAAATTAATAACATCTTCACAGACACAAACGCAATAGCAAACATACTATTTGTTTCAGCACAAGGTTTTATACACCAGAAGCCCAGCTGGGGTAAACAGGGCATTCATGACTGAGCTCCAGTGCAAAGCAACCCAGATGCACATGAGGTGGAAGCAAAAACAAGCTACAAAAGAAGAATATAGAAGCATTGATCAAGTATGCAGGGACAGTGCCAGGAAAGCCAAAGCTCAGCTACAGCTGACACTGGTAATGGACATCAATGGCAACAAGAACAGCTTCTAACACTACTGTAGCATTAAAAACCTGAATAAGGAAAACATGAAATATTTGCTGAATGGGGACTGTGATTTAGAGACAGTGGACTCGGGCAAGGCTGAAGTACTCCATACCTTTGCTACCTCTTCCTTCACTGCCATGGTTCCCAGGCCTTAAGAGTCTAGAGACCAGCTTCAGGAAAGAGAATTATCTGTAGCGGATGAGGATCAGGTCAGGGATCTCCTGAGAGACCTCCTGTCACGCAAATCCACAGCACACGAAGAGATGCTGAGAGAGTTAGCCGATATTATTGAAAGACCACTCACTATCACCTTTGTTAAGCCATAGTGATCAGGGGTCTTCAGTAACTGGGACCTTGCGATGACTGAAGGTAAACATTGTGCACATCTTCAAAAAAGGGCAAGAATAATCCAGGGAACTACAGGCCTCATTTTGATCCTTGGAAAAGTCATGGAGCAAGTCATCTTGGAAGCCATTTTTCAGCAAGTGAAGGAGAAGAGTGTGACTGGGAATGGCCAGAATAGATTTATGCGAGATAAACCATGCTTGACTAACCTGTCTTCTACAATGAACTCACTAGATCCCCTCTGATAAGGGGAGAACAGCAGATGTCTACATGGTCATTGTATCCAAACTGGGACATTACAGTCTAGGTGAATAGACACCTAAATGTGTGGATCATTGGGCTCAAAGGTTGGTGGTTAATGTTTTGTACTCTAGTTGGAGACCAGCTACAAGAGGAGTTTCCCAGGGTCTATCCTATTTAATACTACTTCATCAATGACCTGAAAGAGGAGATGGAGTGCACTCTCATCAAGTTTGTGGATGGGGTACAGTCCATATGCTCAAGGGCAGGGCTGCTTTTCAGAACAATCTACATTCTACGGGAGCGGGTCAACAGAAAAGTCAATTAAATTCAATAAGGACAAATGCAAAATTCTGCACCCAGGATAGGCACACTTCCTGCAACGGTACCAGCTGTGGAATGACAAGCTTGAGAGCAGCTCTGCTGAAAAACACCTAGGGATCCAGGTGGAGAGTAGCTTCAATAGGAGTTAGCATGGCATCCGGACAGCAATGAAGGCTAACAGCATACTGGGCAGTATCAACAGGATTACAGCCAGTATATCAAGGGAAGTAATTATTCCCCTATACTTGGCACTTCTGTAATACTGTGTGTAGCATTTGGGCCTTCTAGTACAAGAAAGATCTTGACCAAGCTCAGTGAAGGAATACCAAGATAGTTAGAGGGCTGGAGCACATGCCCAGTCAGGAGACAATGAGGGAACTGAGCTTTTTCCATCCGGAGAAGGGAGGGCCTGAGGTGACCTGAGCAGGAGATTGTATTACAGACTTACTGAAGTCCCTTTTAACCTGAGTGGGTATATGAAATAAAGTAAGTACACTAAGCCTCACACTGCACACCTACCTACAAGAGTGTTGCAGGCTTCCGTAGCTAGTGAATTAAACGCTAAGTCACGGAAAAACAGCCAACTTAACAATCATAGCAGGAAAGGGAGGCATAGTCAAGGATGCAGTTTACCATATCTTTCAATGACTAGATACTTTGGGTAGATTACTCTGCTACCTAAGCTATTCCTTTAAGTTTAAATGAAAGGATTAGAATTTAGGCCTCCATTTAACAATTCTGATGTTTCCAGCATCTCACAGACCTGAAGTTATACAGTCTATACATCTACTAATAAAAAGGTGACATCTAAGAAACACACGATAAACTTTGGAAGAATTTACCTTGGTATCTCTGAACTCTGCCTTTTCCAAATGGCATTGGTAGATTCAAAGGTATGTAATGCTCATGATTACAGACTACACGAAGAAATTCAAATTTGAATTCAAAAAGAGTCTGCAAAAATAATTTTAAAGCATAAATTAAACAACTGATGCAGTGATTCGAATAACACGTTAAAAACGGCTTTCTAACACAAAAGGGTGATTTCTCTCGGTCTTGCAGTATAAGGGATATAGACCTGTCAAAGTTCCATATGTCAGTATAAAATAATTCCAGCATAATTCACACTTCACAATAGGATATATATCTATTTACTGTCCCCATTGTCCAAAGTTATTTAAGTTTACCAGCATACTATGTATTTATGTAAGACACGTTTGGACCCAAAAATAAATTCTTTGGACATCTGGCACATGCTTTCACCAGTACAGTAAACGTATAGAAACTTATCACTTAGCAACTCTTCCAACTTCAGCCTTTCTCACATTCATGCTTAAAATTTCTGCGCAGTGTTGCACCCCCAACCCCAACACAGATGGAATCAAAATATTAAAAAGTGACTTGATAGAAAAAAAAAATACTGTAGGTACAGCACAGGGACTTTTCATGTAACTGGGAAGAAGTCTGAAGAATTTATGCAGGACTCTATTCACATGCATCAAGAAGAGACAACTCCTAAAAACAGTTTGTTTAAAAACACCGAGTACCTTGGGATCTCCGGGGGCAAAGCAGCTGATGTAGTTATTGATTTGCTTGAAAACAAAGCCTCTATCCATAAAAGTAAAACACCTCTGGGGAAAACAAGCAAAACCAAGATAGAATTGATTTAGTACTGTCTCAGTGCTCAGTAATTATATTTCTGTATTTAACAAGTTTATTTTCCAAACATATTATTTATATTTCAGTTTGAATATAAAAACCAATTAAAATAATCAAACTAATATATGAATACTTATATCAATACCAAATTTTCCCTTCGAGTGCAGAATGTAAACAAATTGGAAATAAAATGCAGTTTGAAGAGAAGAATTCTATCTTAACAGAAATTAAAATGACACGCCACAAGCAGATTTATCTACCATTTTATTTCCCACCCTTTTTTCTCCCTACAGGATCTTGTTGGCTGAAAAAGGACAGACACTGGACATCTGTCTACATAAAATGCATGCAAACAGAACACTACTCAACGTATAAGCTTTTGTAGGATTAGATAATATTTTTAAAGGAAAAAAAAAGAAAAATCAAAATACGTTTTGGATAAAATATATATTCATTAAAAAAACCCAAACTGTGCAACAGATGTCTTCTTCATTACAGAAGACGCAAATTATACTTCAATGCATTGTAACTTGGACATAGAATTACACTTAAAAAGCATAATGTATACTCAATTTTTCTACGAGTTCACTTTAATGTTCTTCAAAATCCATGAAGAAGCAGTATTATTAAAAAAGTAACCACAGAGCCCAAGTATACCTACTTTTATAAAGGCAGCAAGGCTATGGTTTGCATTTTTTGAAGCCTCTGAATTGTCTCTGTACTTCTGAGTGATGTGTGGCATCAGCATATTAACAACTGTTTCAACTGCATGATGAAAAGAAGCGGAAAATCTCTGGTTTCGCAACAGCTAGAAACAAATTTAGATAAAATATTTAAAAGTTTATAACACTAAAATATATCTGAAAACTTACTTTAGATAAGATATATATAACCTCACAGGGAGAGCGGAGACAAAAAAAGTTTTCAAATTTTCTCATTTGTCATTTAAAGTAATATTTTATTTAAATTCAAGATTTTCCTGAACTCTCTAGGCTTGGGGGGAAAAAGAGCACTTGGTTAAGAGAAAATACTACAGCGTGCACTACCATCTGTTATTAAAATTCAAGCAAGGCAGTCTTTGATGACAAAACCATTTGTATAAAAGTTTATAAATGCAATGCGTGAATATTTTTCTATACTACAATAAACTTGATGACAGAAGCTAAGAATAAAAGCAAATCCTTTAATTTTATCTATCTTCCTTTCCAAAGCAGACAAAAGCTGGTTCACATCTAGTAACTGCATTATCAGACTCTCTTTTCTGTCTCAAAAAAGAAACACTTTTTGCTGTTCTGCAACTATGTTTTTAATAACTCCTTTGCCCTTTTCCACTGTGGAAATTCTCATCCATGCTTCTTTCTTCCTCTTGCTCATCAGTGACTTCGAATCTCAGCCCTTCCAGGCTTCAGAATGTTACTCTGCGTGCTTTTAAGTTTCCACAATCAGAACTGTTTTCCCTTCCTTTTAGGTAGTTTGTGATTTGGCTTCAAAGATTTTCTCTATGTTCACAATTTCTCCTTTCCACTCACCATCTGTACTGTCCTCATCAACGATTGTGCACATTCTGACACGTATTGGTCAGTGAGTTCTTTTCAGCTTTTTGGCACTGCAGAGCCTGTTTCATTTCTTTACACCTTACAATCTTTAATAAAGATTCTGTCTTTTGTCTAAAGGTACTTAATGAGAGGTGGTGTGAGGCTGAAGAAGTTGACGTTGACAAAAACTGTTTCAACTGCACAGTCATTATGTCTTTTCTTTCTGAAAACTGAAATCAAAACATCTAAGAGCTCTGAATACTTCGCTATTTAAATAGTTTTTCAAATTATATTGAATGCAACATTCCTAGGCAGAACAAGTCATTGTCAAGGTGCTGTATAGATTGATGATTACACAATTTGCTCCCTTTGTGTTTGAACTATGCTCCAAAGTTTCTAGTTCTATCTTTTAAAAAATATTTTTTAAAAATAGATATTAGTGTTGAAAAAGATCCCATATAAATATCAATAGTACTCATTAATGAAATAACAATTAAAAATTTAAAATTCTGTTGATGGGTATGCCAGTCAGTATCCTACGATACTCTTGTAATTCAGTCTTTGTTGGACAGTAATTAAATATTGCTAAAAATACTACAGAAATCTTGCTACAGAAATAATTTTGCTGCATCCAGAAGCACATCTTTTTACCAGATCTCATAAGTAGGAAATACCTGAATATATGTTCCATTTATTACTTTACCCAATAAGACAGAAAACAGCTAGCAAAAAAATTTAATTGATATTTAAGGGGCTTGTAAATCAAAAAGCAATGTTCAGGAACAAGGACACATGCAAACAAGAGGCAAGTTTCACTCCTTCTTTCAGGTCACAGGGAAGATGACAACGAGGTTAGTTCTAAAAGTGGAAATGCCTTTTTTAACATGAAATGTGGAGACAACAACAAAAATCTGTCATAAAAAGTCACTCCAGTAGTTTATAAGCTATGAACTTCATGTTATTGCAGGGGAAGAATGGGAACAGCAGTTCAAGGTGATACACAGCAAAGTACTAAAAACTAAAGGTGCGTATTAAAAGAATTTGTTTCCTTTGTACAATTCACAGAATCACAGAATGTTAGGAGTTGGAAGGGACCCCTGTGGGTCATCTAGTCCAACCCTCCTGCCGAAGCAGGGTCACCTACAGCAGGCTGCACAGGACCTCGTCCAGGTGGGTCTTGAATATCTCCAGAGAAGGAGACTCCACAACCTCCCTGGGTAGCCTGTTCCAGTGCTCCGTCAGTTCATATTTGGGGGATGCTTTTGAAGATACTAAATATTAACCTGAAATAAATGGGGTTGCTATACAGTAAGTATACCTAGCATGCAGAACACACTATTGAGTGGGACTTCAATAGAAACCACACACATATTTTCCAGGATCAAGCTTAGGGGTTTGGGAGCGGGGGTTTTGGTTTGATTTTTTTTTTCCTCTTAGTCTAGTAGCAATGCGAATGCTCACCAATGGTTGAATATCATAATGGTTCCAATGACAGAATACCATAACAAGAGAGGCAGATTATATAGGAGGAGATACTAAAAACACAGACACTGGCTGAGAGGTTGTGGATTCTCCTTCTCTGGAGATATTCAAAACCTGCCTGGATGAGGTCCTGTGCAGCCTGCTGTAGGTGACCCTGCTTCGGCAGGGGGGAAATGCATTTGGGTTTTGTTCGCTTAAGCAGATTCCTGCTTTAAAAAAATATTATATTCTACTGTACTTATTTTATCCACCATCTGATCTCAATTTAAAAATGTAATCCCTATTGTAAGGAATTTATAATTAAATTAAGTGGGTGTGCACGACAGCAAGTTTGTGGTTTCTTTGAAGTTTTTTTTTTAAACCAATATGCTGTTTTCAAACTTGTCAGGATTTCTGTAGGTTTGTTAAAATTGGGAAAAATTATATAAACTTTGTTTAGCCCAGCAAAAATAGCATATTGTTATTTTTCAGTATCACCTACCAAATCGAAAAGAAAACACCCTGAAGCTATACAGGTTTCACAGAATAATACTTTCATTTCAGTTGAACTGATTAAATTAATACAATTAATTTAACTGATTATATTAAGCTCAAAATAGCGGGGTGAAATACAAAATACTCTATTCGCAGACTGAACAGACGCACAGACTCCTTCCTCAAGGAACATCAAATCAATAATGGAAATTTAAGTTTACAGATCCTGAATTATTTGAACAGATACTATGAAATCGAAAAAAGTGAAGAACAAAAAAAGGCCATCTGAATATTTTTCTTGCTTTGGTTTGCATTAACAGTATTTCTACTGATTAGGGGTAGAAAAAGTTGTCTTTTCTTTTGGCTAGAAACTTTAAGAAATTCGCAAACATCTGATCACTTAACACAAGCAAGAAGTTTGACATCTCAAATGTGAAAGGATGAACTGCAGTACATGCCCAGCAAACCCTCTGTACATATATTTGCTTTCTAAAAACTCCTAAACAAGCGGTAGCTGTCACAGTTCCCTAGACAGTTTAAGAAGTTAGTGATAAAAGCCTGCCCTCTTTCACCCTTCAGAAGATTATTTAATCTGTAGTACTTGTAACCATGTAAATACTCAACCTCCCCCCACCCCCTCAAACTAAAGACCTATTTCTAGATTAACAGACTACAAATACGAAGTAAAAGCTTATGTCCCTATATTAGAGTGCATCAGGTTGGTTTTGCACAGAACATGTCTTTCCTGACAATTGTTTAATCTGTTTTTAAAAAATCTCTCAATTAAGTTTCCAGAATTTCCAGAATGACTGCTCCAATTAAAAGCTGAGATTTTACTTTTTAGTAACAGAAAGGGCATCATTATCTTCTTCATGACATGTTAAATGGAGACAACTCCTTTTCTTTATATAAAAATGCAAGACAGCAGCTAGAATCGCACGACACTACAAGCAAAAGTTTGAGGTCCTCTTCAAGTGCAAAATAACAGGATGAAGTCAGATATTCTTTGCAGGTTTTATCTACTCACAGAAACTAACAGTCACAATAAAACACAGCTGGGCAGACTGAGGTGGGGGAAGTTAAGCTTAAAACACACAGCTGATTTTGCTGCTAAATGAGGAGCCTCACCAACTGACAGAGCTCCTCCTGCATTCCAGAGCAGCAGGGGAAAAAAGAGTTATGCATGTTACATATTCTTCTCCTTATTTAATTCAAATAGTTTAATTTTTTTTTAATTTTAAAATCCTTCTATTTCTACAAACGGTGCAATGTTGAGCCTATTATCTTTATTATGTGATGTATTTCAGTAGAATGCATAGTTCAACCTGAATCCCTAAATCTTCCCCTTTATTATGATATTCTGCAAATTATGGTTCAGTAATTAGGGCTAAAATGAGTACAGTTGAATTAAGGCAGATTTTTTTATTGCTAGATGACAGTCAGTCTGGTGACATGATTTAATTCATCTAATTAAAAGTAAACCAGAAACGTGAACAGGAAAACATTTTTATTCTGTATAATTATTCTAAGAAAAAGTGATGGTTACTAGCATTTGGACATCAAGCATGTTACTTTAGACAGTATCTAATGATGAAAAACTCATTTGACCAATTATCACAGGGAGTTCACATACTTCCTAAATGAAAAATGAATCAATAACCTCTTTAAAGATGAAATCTATTGAAATAGAAAAGTCCAGACACTTAAAGTAAGTTGAACTGGCACTCAGACTCTACTGATCATACCACAGCAGAACAGTATTAAGTGTAGCACTCTAAAGCTTTTTTCCTGATCATTGTCCAATTATCCTTTTCCCTCCCCACGGAGTTCAGACTTCCAGTTATGTTCTAAACACACAGTGAAAATGTTACGCAGTTGGGACTACTTGGTATACGTAAAACTTTACTTTCAAGACTTGCTTGAATACAGAAGTATGTAAACTAAAAAGCTGTCACCAACATACGAAGAATACTGCTTATAGGCCAAGCTGGTAGAAAAATGTCCACTTTAAAATTTTAGCATTATCTTTCCAGCATGGGAAATAACACAGAAACTAGTATTGATACTTCTTATTGCATACAGAAGGACTGTAAATTGCGTGATTCACTCTTCTCCAAATAATTTTATATCACAAGTACTGTACTGCTCTGGAAAAAGACCACATTTTTTGGGAAATAACACAGAAACTAGTATTGATACTTCTTATTGCATACAGAAGGACTGTAAATTGCGTGATTCACTCTTCTCCAAATAATTTTATATCACAAGTACTGTACTGCTCTGGAAAAAGACCACATATTTTTGGATAGTACTTACATTAAAATTCACAGTGATATCTATTGCTTCCAGCTTCATTGTACCGTAAGTATTAAGAAATCTTAGTAACGAGTCTGACTATTCACACAGACTGTTCTACTGTACGGATTTTAAGGGCTGTCTATCCTTTTAAATGCTGAATCTAGCCTTGTAGTTTTTTCTGTCTAATATTTAACTGATTTCTCCTGCTGCTTTGTTTTCCCCCTCCCTTTCTTACATGATTATTATATATAAATCATAACCATGTATATATGAAACTTTTTCTTCTAATATACAATAAAAATACATGACTGGAGAAAGAAGAAACTATACAAATACTCTTTAGAATAACATTTTTTTCCAAAAGTTGACATACCTTCACTTTAGAGTTTTCTATCAAATGCTGAGCCATTGATTTTATCAGAACTTCAAAGAAAAACCAAGAATACTGCAGAGAAAATAAAACATTCTGTAAAATTGCCACATGCATTCAACAACTGTTTCAATACAATTAGTTTGTATTCTTCAGTTATGACGACGTAAGAACATACAGTAAAAAGTATAGTTCAAGATATACCTTAAGTAGCTTGTTGCTTGTAAGAAAGTCAGCAGATGGCTTTAAAATTGTTGTCATGGACTTTGCCAATTCTTCATGTACTGTCTTATATTCAGAAGCAACATAGGGTTCAGCTTTATAAGCATACTTGGGGAGAAAAAACAGAATAGAATATGAAACTATGCCATAATAGAAAACAATTGAAATTGAAGAGATGCAACTAAATTTAAATATAGTCTTTTTAGAGAAATAAAGAAAAGTACACATTTACTTTTACCTACCTTGACATAAGACCTCAGGTAGCTATCCAATCCTTCTTCATGGCACTGAGCAACAATATGGATAATAACCCTAAACAGAAGTCAGAAATTAAGTAAGCCTACAAAGAACGCTATGATTGCAACAGCAAAAATGCTACCCAGTTACAGATTTATGTGATAACCCAGTCATCACTTAAACTCTATGAAGCACTTACAATTCTTTACCTTGTCACATTGACTGCAACTTCCTCTTGAGTTGCTCTAGTGAGAACTCTAAACAACTGGTTTAGAACAGTTGGCAGGAAAGCTATCATCACATGGCCTTCCATAGCATGAAGGCTCTAAAAGAAAGCAGTAATACTGTCACTCCCTTGAAACAACAGCATTTAAATCACAAGTTCTGAAACCATAAAGTTTAATGCAAATCTTTTTCCAAAAATACGTGCTGCTTGCACTATTTGGTGTTAATTACCTGAAATACAACTGCACAGAAAGCAATTGAGAATAGTTTCCAACATAAACGTTTGGCAAATATTTTCTACATTAAGGTAAAATAGGGGTAAAAATTAGGCTTTGTTTAAAGGATTTTAGAAATAATTATTTGTACTTTTCCACTGAAATGCATACTAGATAAAATTTGAATGAAAAGACAACAGCTGATACTGACACTCTGGTGTACTTCGCTATTTCATCCACGAATGCAGACATTTAGCAACCAGAAGTTCCACAAAAACATACGGACTGCTTACCTGTGACAAATGCAACACTACTTATCCTAGTTACCGCAAAACAATAAACTAATATGTTAAACAAATAGAAAGAACTAAAATCCCTAACTACCTAATGCTGGAAATTGGAGATAGTGAATTACTAACGACTCAACTTCTTCATGATACGCCTTTGCATTCCATCACATGCAAAAGATGGTAGACATAACCACCCTGACATAAAAGGCAGTGTATGGCATTTCATCTGACATTGTTTTATACCACAAAATTCCCTGGAGTTAAAGGGAGTTTGACAAAAAAGGGTATATTTGCTCAACATGCATACAGACAACACATTTCAAACATTTCCATTCAGTGTTAAAGTAGCTGTCTTGTCTTCAAATGTTGGCCTGTATGCACTTTCACTATTCAGGACTCAGTCTTCCCTCCTATGTAATGTGCGATTTTCCTTGGAAACAGCAGTCATACGCTACAGTATCTTTTCTATAAGTCTTGAATATCAGAGCATTGGGTAAACATGCAAGTGGAGGGGGGGTTGGACTAGATGACCCACAGAGGTCCCTTCCAACCCCTACTATTCTGTGATTCTGTGATTCTGTAATTCACAGTGATATCTATTGCTTCCAGCTTCATTGTACCATAAGTATTAAGAAATCTTAGTAACGAGTCTGACTATTCACACAGACTGTTCTACTGTACGGATTTTAAGGGCTGTCTATCCTTTTAAATGCTGAATCTAGCCTTGTAGTTTTTTCTGTCTAATATTTAACTGATTTCTCCTGCTGCTTTGTTTTCCCCCTCCCTTTCTTACATGATTATTATATATAAATCATAACCATGTATATATGAAACTTTTTCTTCTAATATACAATAAAAATACATGACTGGAGAAAGAAGAAACTATACAAATACTCTTTAGAATAACATTTTTTTCCAAAAGTTGACATACCTTCACTTTAGAGTTTTCTATCAAATGCTGAGCCATTGATTTTATCAGAACTTCAAAGAAAAACCAAGAATACTGCAGAGAAAATAAAACATTCTGTAAAATTGCCACATGCATTCAACAACTGTTTCAATACAATTAGTTTGTATTCTTCAGTTATGACGACGTAAGAACATACAGTAAAAAGTATAGTTCAAGATATACCTTAAGTAGCTTGTTGCTTGTAAGAAAGTCAGCAGATGGCTTTAAAATTGTTGTCATGGACTTTGCCAATTCTTCATGTACTGTCTTATATTCAGAAGCAACATAGGGTTCAGCTTTATAAGCATACTTGGGGAGAAAAAACAGAATAGAATATGAAACTATGCCATAATAGAAAACAATTGAAATTGAAGAGATGCAACTAAATTTAAATATAGTCTTTTTAGAGAAATAAAGAAAAGTACACATTTACTTTTACCTACCTTGACATAAGACCTCAGGTAGCTATCCAATCCTTCTTCATGGCACTGAGCAACAATATGGATAATAACCCTAAACAGAAGTCAGAAATTAAGTAAGCCTACAAAGAACGCTATGATTGCAACAGCAAAAATGCTACCCAGTTACAGATTTATGTGATAACCCAGTCATCACTTAAACTCTATGAAGCACTTACAATTCTTTACCTTGTCACATTGACTGCAACTTCCTCTTGAGTTGCTCTAGTGAGAACTCTAAACAACTGGTTTAGAACAGTTGGCAGGAAAGCTATCATCACATGGCCTTCCATAGCATGAAGGCTCTAAAAGAAAGCAGTAATACTGTCACTCCCTTGAAACAACAGCATTTAAATCACAAGTTCTGAAACCATAAAGTTTAATGCAAATCTTTTTCCAAAAATACGTGCTGCTTGCACTATTTGGTGTTAATTACCTGAAATACAACTGCACAGAAAGCAATTGAGAATAGTTTCCAACATAAACGTTTGGCAAATATTTTCTACATTAAGGTAAAATAGGGGTAAAAATTAGGCTTTGTTTAAAGGATTTTAGAAATAATTATTTGTACTTTTCCACTGAAATGCATACTAGATAAAATTTGAATGAAAAGACAACAGCTGATACTGACACTCTGGTGTACTTCGCTATTTCATCCACGAATGCAGACATTTAGCAACCAGAAGTTCCACAAAAACATACGGACTGCTTACCTGTGACAAATGCAACACTACTTATCCTAGTTACCGCAAAACAATAAACTAATATGTTAAACAAATAGAAAGAACTAAAATCCCTAACTACCTAATGCTGGAAATTGGAGATAGTGAATTACTAACGACTCAACTTCTTCATGATACGCCTTTGCATTCCATCACATGCAAAAGATGGTAGACATAACCACCCTGACATAAAAGGCAGTGTATGGCATTTCATCTGACATTGTTTTATACCACAAAATTCCCTGGAGTTAAAGGGAGTTTGACAAAAAAGGGTATATTTGCTCAACATGCATACAGACAACACATTTCAAACATTTCCATTCAGTGTTAAAGTAGCTGTCTTGTCTTCAAATGTTGGCCTGTATGCACTTTCACTATTCAGGACTCAGTCTTCCCTCCTATGTAATGTGCGATTTTCCTTGGAAACAGCAGTCATACGCTACAGTATCTTTTCTATAAGTCTTGAATATCAGAGCATTGGGTAAACATGCAAGTGGAACTTAAGCTCATACTTTTGTCTAGGATGCAGACATTTTTTGGTAAAGGTGCTGTTTTAACTAGGACTCTGAAGTGGACTCGTAACCCAATTTCTGATGCCTTTGAGTATTCAACCACACTTAGACTGCCAGAAGTAGCTGTGCCCTTTGATTTCTCAGGCAACAGCACAGTTAACTACAAGCAGATACCATCAACTTATGAGATGCTAAATGATATCTGGGCTCATGAAACATGAAGGAAAGTGTACAAACATCTTGAGTCACGTGAGTCTCAGAAAACCTTTTATCAGAAGTGTTAGATGCTGCTTACACAAAATCCTGTTAGGGAGGGCAAGAGCAGATAGAGAATAGAAGCACACTTATCAGGTTTGGTAACTCAAGATACTCTGTAGCTCTGTAACTGTATCATGCTGACTTCGTGGAGGAAACTAAATCCCAGGTATTTAAATGCGTCATAACCATTATAGCATAGACATTACCTGCAGTAAACTGTCACCAGCAAACTGAAACGCTGATCTCTCAAAAAAGTGTAGCCCATAGGCTGGCCAAGTCTGGCACAGGTAGGTACAGGCTGACACACAGCAGGCAAGCTCAGTACACAGAAGTAAAAAGTACTTGCATCCCTGGGAGGCCTAGCTATAGACAGGAATTTGGCCCAAAGGAACTGAGAATGGCCATAATTTGTATTTAACACAGAAGACAACATTTGTTTTCTGTTACTGTGAAGCAAGGCAGAAAAGTCAACATGATGTGTTAACCTAGTGGTGTGGAACATGTTCACATCGTGTGGTGAGAGTGTTCTGGTGTTTGATGACAAGAAAAAGTTATAAAAAGAGGCTCTGTGGTTGCATTATTCTGTCCCAGGGACTTTGGCAAGACATGGTCTTGTCACTGAACCTAAAGATTTTGCTAATGTGGAATTAATATAAATGTTAATAAATTGTTTAAACAAAGGAATAAGCTACCATCTCATCACGAGACCATACACAAGTGAAGTAAATCACAAGATTTGGGAGTGATCTGACGGATCATTCTTTTGCGCTTTCCCTAAAACAATACTCTAAAATCTGATGGTCATTTTGTTCTACCAGACTAACAAGAGTTGTGAATATCAAGAAAAGAATCAAGTCTTTGATTCCAGCAAAGTGTCATTTTTGACCGTCAGTGGGTAGCCAGATACATCTGAAAATTCCATGCTAGTCCCTAGAAGAGATTTTGATTATACCAGATTCAAGTAGAGCTCTGGTAAAGCTAAACAGTGGGATTTCTTGAAGTACTGTGAATTTCGATGAATCAAACAGGTGAGAAACTGACTGAGGGTTGTTTACAACTTCAGCTCCTGAGGTAAGAATCAACCAGCTGCCCACATCAAAGTACAGGGCCGCTCCATTCCTCATAAAATTAAGTCACTGCTGTCAGGACACTGGTAAAGAGGCTTTATATGGTATGCAAACTGATTTTTTTACTAATAATGATTCAGACTTGTCATATATGCAGTGATTTTAGTAATAATGGTTCTTCTCATGTAACACCTGACTGTTTCCCAGACCAATTGTTTATACTGCAGCACTAAGAAAGAGCAAATTCTGGTTTTTCACCCGAACTTATCAATAAAGACATCCAAGTCAACTGGATTCAACTCATTTTCAACTGGAACGGGTTGCCCAGAGAGGAAGAAACATTCAAGGCCAGGCTGGACAGGGCTCTGAGCAACCTCATCTAGTTGAAGATGCCCCTGCTCACTGCAGGGGTGCTGGGCTAGATCACCTCTAACAGTCTCTTCCAACCCAAAGCATTCTATGATTCTAATTCCCTGAGGTCCAGTATGGGCAAGAATCCTTCCCTTCTCAATACCAGAAAACATCTGCCATTTTCTATGGCACCTCAACTAGCAGGAAGGCTACATCCCTTGAAAAAGAGTGATGGGAACGATACTGACAATTTTCAAGAGCTTTAATGAGCCACAGGTCAGACTCTAAGACCCCACCAGAACATACCATCTTTACTATACAGAGTGGAAAAAAGACAGGTTAAGTCCAATGATAAAGGTTCGGTGTCCCAGCTGATCTCAAAACCAGAACCACAGAACAAGAAGGCAAAGCTGCACCAATGAGAAAAGTGCTTTTTATGACTAGGACTTCTAAAAATCTGGATGATTGCTTTATATTTTGATAGAACATGGGAGGAAATTGAATACTGATAACTTTAAACCCCTTGACAAAAAAGTACGAGGAGTAGGAAGTAAGAGGTAAAGAAGTTCCCTTCTTCAAACAGAAATCTCAGACAGCAGGACCACAATCTCCCAGAAGGATTATTACTTGGAGAAAGACGGAATATTGCCCTTGGCCTCAAGGCAAGATGAAACACTCTGAAGCAGCAGTTATTCTCCTCTTCTGTCTCTACTGAAGAGATTTCTTCAGGGCACAAACCACATATCCATAGTTAGAAAGACTATATTTTGAAAAGCGTCACAATGACAGAGTTGTGTTGTATCAGGGAGGGATTCTGCACAAGCTGTCTCTGACTCCAGTAGGGCCTCTTGATACTGCAGTGTGCTGACTTGAAGCTGAAACACTACCAGGCTTAGCACTGGTGCCATCTAACTGGGCACTATTTGGTACAATTACTGCTGCAGAAAGCAGTGGAAATAAGGATGGCTCCAGATCCATAATTATCAAGGAACTCAAAACAGACACAGTAAGCGAGAAATACAGAGAAACGACATCTTATATCAAAACAAGAATACCAGCAGCAGAAACCCAAGTGAGAGGCATCTCTAGTGACTCAGTCTAAGTTACCACGGAGGATGATGAGGTTCAGCTACAAGCCTACTTGCTCTTTGCCTTACCGTTCTGATGTGAAGCTATCATGGTCAGAATCCATTTAAGAGTTTGTATTATTGTCATACACTTTGTCAGCATGTTTTGGGATCGCAAAGTTTCAGAGTAAGGACAAACAGAAAACTGACAAACAGGTCTGTCAGTAAAAAATGGCAATAACAATTTAAAAAAAAAAAAACTACTTCCAAATAGACTTATTCCATCTGCCTGCTGATAACGTACTGTGTCCTGTTTTGTACCAAAGTTGATCACAGATGTCTTCGGGCAAGGAATACGAATCAGAGCCAAGGTTTTAGCATAACCAAGGTCACAAAGCAAGGCCAGTTCAGAAGTGTGCCACATTCAACAGTTAAGTTCTTACTTAAATGTCCTGAGTATATAGTCCAATTTTATTAATTGATGGAATTCAATTACAATAGTAAACTCTGTTGCCCCTAAGAAAATCAGAAGCTACTTGTGATACATTGAATAGATTTTAAGACTGAATTTTGGGCTTCATATTACAAATGTGGCCTACTCGGTTAAGACAAAATTGCTGCGGAACCCATGCACTCTATTGATGTAATCCTGAAAGAGAACTGTAGATGTGACAATGATAACCTCCTAAGCAAAATTTTAGAAAACCAAGAGTCATCATTCCTTATCATTCCCATGTGCAGTTCAGTATGATTATGTTGACAACCTAAGTCGCCAGTGTTTTGAAATTATCACTCAGAAGGCTGACCAATACTGTCTCATTATTTCCTTGTGGTTTCCTCTTATATTGAAATTGTAAATTTATCTGGGGCAGAAAGTATCTTTTTCTTCTTTTATACTGCATATTCTACTAATGAGACCCAGAAAATGACTGAAGCTCCCATGTTTTGCAGAAGTAGTAATAAATAATATAAACTGTTATTCACTGCCATTTTATACCTTCAGATATTTTACGAGATCAGTTCCTAGTGCACGAGCTCCAGACTCTGTTTTCTGACAGTACTGAAAAAAATTATGCAAGTGCTGGTCCTGTCAAAGATGAAAAGAAAACAAATTAAACAATATCTAACATTATTATCCATAATATAAAACAGAACACATTCAAAATATTTATATATAGAAATCCATATACATGTCCATAGATTAAACTCTCTAAAATAACTGATGTGCACTACTCCGAGGACTAAGTTAGTCTACATGTAACACTGATCTTTTTTAACCCATGCAAGAAGCTTCCAGTGATTTTTGAATATCCGTTAGACAAAACACCACCTATATTTGCTTCAAGCCAACTGACATGCAGAAAATAGCATACTTAATGTTAGTTATCCCAACTGATCAGAATATGTATTTTATGGGCAGCTATAACAGGACTCACTGCTTCGTAGACATGCCAGTAAATAGCTCTCAGACAACTATGACTTCTCATGTAACAGGAAAATTCAGACTGGATTGGATGACAATGTTAGACAAAAGGCTCACTTTTTTAATAGCTTCCATTTAAGATCTACTGTTTTTCATAGCTGTTGTGAGAGACATACCATGCAGAGTATCCAAGAGACAAAAAAAATTAGATATCAGCATATTGAGTTAAAGAATCCTCCAAAATATTCTATAAACATACATCACACACACATTATTCCTAAAACTTTCTTTAATTTACTTTGTTTTATAACTCACCTGCGTATACACAGTTGACACCAGATGAGTGGATATTTTTAACAGTTGTTTGCCTCCATCTACCCACTTAATTTCAGGACCAGAATGCTGCATGGACACATGCAGAGGAAAAGTAAAATCATGAAGCAGTATACTAGAGAAAAACAATTTGTTTATAGTACCACAAACAACACTTTTTTTTAAAGAAACAGGTTGAAGAAATGTGTGCAATGAATAAAGTCATAAAAAAAGGAAAAATATGCAGGCAATATTACCAAAAGCATTTATGAAGCTTAAAATGTTTTTTAAAAGTCCCACATTACTTTCCTCACTGGCTAACAAAATTGCTTCTCTAAGTCACAGGCTTTGTGTTTCCCCTACAACTCTATAAAGAAACTTCTACCTAGAGAGAAGTATCTATCAGCTTTCTGAGAAAAATACACAAGAATTTCCACAGATACTGACACAGTTTAAACCTTAACATAGATCACCAATAGGTAGCAGTCGTCACTTTCTTCCCATCCCATTTCCAAAGAACTACGAATGGGAATGCTCAGCTGTCTACCCTGGCAATCAGTTATGGACAGATTTTACTGGTAGATCTACAACTAGTCTTATTGTTTTAACCTTCTACCCATGTGCATGAGCAGAGACAAACAGCAGAGGCATAAAGAATACGCCTACGATGTGAAAAGATGAAAGATGTGAAAGAAATGATGGTTGGAAAGCTTACAGCAGAGTTTAAAAAAGAAAAGGTGGTAGAGAAGGAGGAACTTGCTGTTGATTTTAGGCGTCTTCCTCCAAAATGAGTCAATTTTGTCTCTGCATTTCATTTGTTTAGCCAAATCCCCTATCATATTTTACATTTTGTATCCTCCTTGGTATCATTTTTATCACTATAATTTTGCAAGCTTTCTGCTTTGAAAAATACGACCATAAATTTTACTAGTGAAGTATAAAGATCACAAAAATCAAGATGTGAGAATAAGACTTTTTCAGGAATAAAGGACTTACTGAAAGGAGACAGCATGAAATGCTAAAAAAAATTTAGTAAAGGACTTCAGATTATTTGCATATCTTCATAAACTCAAAATAGTTTAATATATTCAAAGATTACTGTAACTTCTAACTAATTATTACTATATAAACCACAAGAATTAAACATTTCCTAAGTACACCAGCTAAATAATGACAGAAGTAAGTACTTAACCATTTAAATGAAAAACTATATCAGGGCGGGTTGGTTCAGATTGTTTGGGTTGGTTTGTTTCCTTTAGGTCAGATGTCTAACTTTTGCAAAACACTCTGTTTCAACTATAAAAGAAAAAAAATTCTACTAGAAAATGACTTAAATCTTATCAGACCAGGACATTACAACCAAACCTTCTCTCCACATCTTTTTTGTTTGAAAGATAAGCGCAATTCTGCATAACATACCTTTCCAACCCCCACTTCTTGATAATTCAGATAGCCTGACGGAAGATTTGCTGATACTGGGATGTGTTGCTCATTGGTCACCACTCTTCCATCTTTTATTAGAGGAAGCCAAGAATACCCAACTACGGAACATGAAAGGCAATTAATTTTAACTATGTTATGAATCTTTACATAAACACTTACGGAAGTCTTACTGTACGCTTCTGATATGTAATCCATAAATCAGAAAATATTACTGTAAGGGCCAAATTATTTGAACTCATATCATTAGAAATAATTAAAAACAGCAAATAAAATATCACTGAGTTTGAAAAAAAACATACATTTGATAGGCATTCCAAAACAACATCTGAAACATTTAAATTAACAGAAATACTTCATGAAATCTTTCAGTCGGTATAATGTAATTAGAAAACATTAATCACGGGTTACCACATAAGCATACTTCATAAAATCTCCCCAGTAGTTACTGAAAGTAAAGCATTAGCGTACAAACCTTGTGTTTCAACAACATCTTTCTTCTTCGTACTCCCTTTGCTTGAAGTATCACAGCTGACATGGTAGAAGGTGAACAACAAATGGTGCTTTTCATGTAACTGAGTGGGCAATTCTATTTTAATCTGAAAGGCAAAGAATCACAACCTTTGTAGAAGTCTTGAGCTAGAGCAGTGACATGCCTTACTGGTTGTACACTTAAAAAGTAATTCCAGGTTATATGTTATTTGAAGCAAGATCAAGAATTACACACACAGAACTTACAAAAATTTACTTACAGTGAAAAGGGGGGTTTGATTTAACTGAAGTCATTATCAAGTACTTTGCTCTCCTCAAATATTTTCTTGTATTTTTGAAACTTACATACTACCTAAACCAGTAAAATTTACCTCAGAAAGGTGACTTACCTCATCATAAAACTCTGGATTTTGATGGTGATGCAGAACAGCAGCAAACGCGCTTCTAGTAAATACTGGTCCACCTGGCCTGCCATAGATACACTAATAATAGAAAACAGGGCGGGGGGGGGGAAAGGACAAAAAAACCCATGTGATCCTTTTTCACTCTCAGCTTAGAATCTGTTTCACCTAGAATTTGAAATATTTTAACTTGTGTTTAATTTGGTGCCTTTGCACAGACAGGAGATTACATGATGTGTAGTTTGCCTGCTGTGCAGCAGAACTGACAGTGTGATTTTTACCTCAGGATTCCTATACATTTCTCTACTTCTTTTCTTCCAGGCATCTCTTATACATTGTGGTAGCTCATAAAAAAACACAGAGCTTGGCTCTGCAGTTCCTCTAAAATTTTACCATTTTAAATTAAAGAATTACTCCTACGGAGTATGCACAAGCCACCTTTGTTTGCAACAAGGTTGGAATTTTTGTTGATATAAAGAAATTAAATGCTCTGAGGGTTCTTTCGTAATCTTTTTATATCAAAACCAAGCAAGTCATCTAGAAGTTAAGTCAAATGCAAAAGGAGGACAGAAAGCTGCCATCCCAAACTAGATAAATTAATCAAGTATTACTGTGTTACTTGGCTAACTGTTCACCATTTTCTTTTATCAATCGCAAAATTCAAAGGACTAACCTTCAAAGGCAAAGAATCCTCTTCATCAGAATCCTTGAACTCAATGCATACTGCAATGTTTCTAGCCTAAAGCAGATTTTAAAAAAATAAAACCCAAACACTCAGTTGTAAGGATCATCACAGAAATATAGTCCGTAAACATTCTTAACCAAACCAGAGAAAGAAGAACGTACAGTTTTCCTGTACTCACCTTTGCAAAAGACTTTTGACTGTCGTATTTCAAGTGCTTTGGATAAACATAAAGATGATTGTTGTAGATGGTGAAAGGCTGAGTGTGTTTTGGTATACAGGGAACAAATTCCTCTACTTCAAATGTTATTAATGCCTTGGTACTGTTTTCAAACTGTTTCACTGGAATGTATGACGAGTTAACATAATCTGAAAATACACTCAAAATCAATAAAACACTGAAGAGAAAAAGCCTGAATGTCCATTTAACAGTGTTTATTAATACTTACTTGGAAAATCTGGTGACACGTTATCAATTGTAACATCCAGATTTCCTAAAATAACAGGAAGTTTGGCCATCTTTTCAGGTCTATAGGAAGGAAAAAAACCTCAGTCAGGCTAAATGCAAAACTATCAGATGCCAGAGAAAAGAGACAATAGGAAACAGAAGCAGAAGTAATATCCTGAAATAGGAATATGAGAGGAAAGGGTGATTTGGGGATGGATGCCTGATCTGGTCTTGCTTTTTGCCTAGATTTAGTTGTCTCCTTTACACTTGGAAAAAAAAAAGAAAAAAAAAAAAAGAGTAAGGCTTTACTCACCAGTGTGGAAAAGGTTAAGAAAAAGCATGATGTTTTTCTTTCTTTAAATCAGAATTTAAAGCTTCAATAAAGATAGGTTTTGTTTGCCATGTAATAACTCGCTATAATTTGCAGCAAAGAGGGAACCTGTAAGTAAGCTTTTTAAATCTCAATAGCCAGTAACAAGCATTTATGGTAACAGGGTAAACTTCGGGGAAGAACAACAGGGGAGAAAAAATCAGTAAGTTAACAAAATGCTTCTTCTACTCAGTAATTTTTTTCCTGACTCCTCCTTTTTCTAGAGTAATTAGTCACCCTGAAAAATACTTACTATTAAACATCCTACTATGAAGTTTCTTAGATGTTATCATGTAGCTAATTCAGAAACATGATTTGAAGTAGGAGTATTTGCCATGTTAAAACACCAGTGCAGAACTCTTTATTAGTAAAGATAGTCAGCAGCATGATTTTTTTTTTTTTTATTATTGCAGAGGAAGCAGATGCAAAATTTTCCCAAAATGCAATCCCGTACTATGAAACAAACAACCTTTTCTGGTTGGAGTCTGCATTCTAATTCCAAAAGCTAAGCTAGAAACATTACAATCTCTTCGTTACAAAAATTCCTGTGAAATACTGCACACGATTCCACAAACAGGATACTGAAATAACCGAAAGCATTTCCTTAATTCACAAAGTAAAATGAAGTGGCAGGGTAATTTCTTATATTAGTTTCACTTTCAATAATACTTTTTACGGCAAGGAGTATCTGTACACAGCAATTTCAATGCTATGTAAACTTCAGTGAAACTTTAAGCGGCTTGTTAAAATGGAATTAAAATATCTATTACAAACCTTACCTGCTTATCAGATTTGGTAAGCAAGAATAAAACCAAGAAACTGTAGCCCAAGTCTTTTGTGATTAGCAGTTATTCACATGAATACAACTGCAGCTACCTGTACCATTAACAGAAGTGGAAATGCCACTGCGAAGCAGCAAAGATTGCTTTAGTATTTGTCATCCTGTTTAAAAAGGATGAAAAAGGATTAAAACTAGTTTATTAACCGGGTCATCTGTCAGTAGGAGATTCTTAAGCCTTGCACACAAACTGATGCAGTCTTTTGGAATACTTCGTAAAAAAGGACAGCCAGCGTTCTGTTATTTAGGCATCCTGGACCACACACACTCCCAAGGAAGGCTGACTGGGCATTGGCTTGAATCCCTTTCCCTGAGTGCTAGCAATCTCTGTTCAAGGTCCGTGAACATATGATTTATGCTCATACTTCTTTTCCTTTGAGTGTGTTCAGCGAGCGTAACTCCTAACGCATTGCTACTTCGGGATATGATGCTTACTGCAAGTTACACATGGTGTAATAGTTCAGTCCTGCAAAGGAAAGATCTGTAGCTTGTATGAAGGCCTTGGCTATATTTACACAACTTCTATATTTGAAGTGAAAAACATATAAATACACACATCAAAATATTAGATGCTCCAGTTCAAGGCCATAACAAAAAAAGGGGGGGGGCGGCAGGGGGGCACAGGAGGGCAGTTAGGGTGTGGTTGGTTGGTTTTTGGTTTTTTTAAAGTGGGGAAACTAGACTTACTTCCTGAAATCTGCTAACAATTTCAGCATGTCTTCATTTGAAAGTTTATTACTGTCTTGTCTGAAGAGAGGAGAAAATCTTGCATTTCTGTCCAGGGTTCCTGAGGCATCTTTAAACAACGTCCTGAAAGTCAAAATCTTGCTTTCAGCTGACTTTATGAAAGTGTTGAAATTCACTTCAGGAAATTTCTTTACTACAAATTAGAACATACTACAGCATCCTTCATATTAAGCATTTAGTACTCTTGTCATCGTAGGTGAGCTTCAGTGTATAAATAGCTCAGTTTAACAAATCAAGTGTGAACCATTTCATTCTTAGTAAAATGAAAAATATTGACAATAGAAAACAGTTGGCAATATTCAATGATTTGAATAATAATATAATGAATCTTTATAACTTTTTTTCCTACTACAGAGCTGAAGTATAAGTTAGTTTGTCATAAACCTTTGGTTAATTGAAAGTAAAACAAGAAGCAATTTAAACTGCACATTAAATTTTACAAGAGGTGAAACAGAAGAAAAAGATGTCAAAGAAAGTTAGGAAAAAATACAGATTGACAAGATCTGTCCCTACCTAGCTGCCCAGGCAAAAGGCATTCTATATTGACCTAATCTCTGGCATGCCTGCTTAGCGTTCTTCAAAACCTTCTGTGCAACCTGCAAGGGACATAAGAAATAGCTACATTTTAAAAGCCACATTTTTTGCTCTGTTAGTACACAAGAAAAAGCCATATATTGACATTGATATGAATTGGAAAAATCTTCTTTAGATAATTAATCCTAAGTTTGCAAGTGAAAGACAAACGAAAATACCTCTTAACAATTCATTTCAGGTTAAGCAGGGTCTGCTGATTTCACAGCATTTCATGGGTGAAAACATTGACCCACCTACAGCCCTGATAATACATCACAACTCATTTAGGAAAAAAAAATATTATATACAAAACTCATAGGAAAGCTAGAGCAAAATTTAACTGGTTTTTAAGACAAAATTGTGACTCCATATAAAAACATTTCCCCTCTCAGTTTCTCCCCTACTCACCACCCACTCTATGTACCAGAATACATTCCTGCAGAGTAAATGGTAAAATACTCTGCAATATTTGTATTACAAGTACACACAGAATATGGGGAGGAGTTGTACGAAGATCATATGGACAATCGTATGTATGGACTTTGAAAATTTATTTTCATTAAAACTTCAAGTTTTTGGTTTTGTTAGCTTTTCACTGAACAAACAATTCCATCATATAGAACCAACATACGTAACAATCAGAGCTAGAAACCCACAAGTTTGAGATGTTCATCACCAAGCTGAACCACTTGAGCTAAAGCAGAAGTTCCTCACAGAGCAGTAGGCTTTTCTTTTTCAGAAACCAGTTTCTCATATGTTCCTACACGGAGGAAAATTGTTTGCCAGAGGCAGAAAAAACAGAGTAAACCTGTCTGAATATTATCTCTGATTTATGCTGTTGACATTATGAAGAGCTGTTTCTATTAGTGTGTTATTTGAGCCAACTCTCCATTACTCTTTCCTGCAAAAAGGGGGAAATTGCACTCAGAAGCATAAAACCTTGATAAGTAATCACCATTAATTCACTGTATTTCAGTGTTTAAGGGGAGAATGAGTGATCTCTTGGCTACAGAATTTGCTGCTTCTACTCTCCCATTTTCTTGTCCAGAGTAGTAATTCTGCAGGGAACTGGAACTTGCTCATTGTACTGACACACATGGAGGCCTACATAGCAGGTACTGGTCTGTTTTGGTTCAGATTAATATGGTGTAATCCAGAGAACAAAAACGGCAAAAAGTTCAAACTAAGTGTTCAACTGTATAAAATTACAAGCAGAAAAGGACAGCGTAAGTTAATATAACCACAAATGTTGCTGTTGGCTATTCCTGCAGTGCAGGGCAACACACGCCTAGCACTCCGCGTCAAATCTGGGAACACTCGGGCTTGCTTAACCTTCCCACGCGGCTCAGGCCCAACACCACCAACATCAGTTACTCAGTCCAGGTTTGTTTTAATTCAGTAACGGTCAGCATACACTTCAAAACCAGACTCCTAAAATACAAAGCTGCTGTTTTTCGACGATAGCTGAAAAAAAATCTCAAAGTATTCCTGGAAAAGCAAATCAGTAGTCTGATCTATATTAAGACCAAGTGAAAAATACAGGTTTTTTTCTGTGTAACTTAGCCAGCATTAAATCAGTAGGAAAGAATACTGTTCCTCTGCAGAGACTGAAAGTTAACCCTTCCTTCTTCCCTCTCCCTAGCTGAAAACAGGAAGAATGTCAACAGTAGCTACGACAGCTTACAAAAAACCCCCCTTTTCCTTGCATCCTGGTCCAGCTATTTAAGCACAACTGTAAATCAACAAAATCAAAATTCTATTGCTTCAGTGACAGACAAGAAGCAGCAACTGACAAAGCTTCTTGTGGATATGTTTCCGAAAACATTAAAATGTTCTGTCATCCTAGACTCTTGTAAACTCAAGACATTTCAGTGGTTTATTTCCAAAAGTGGAGTTCTATCAAATCTTGATTGCATTTTATACATAAAACCAGAGGCTTAATGAGCTCATTGATTCTGAAGGAAAAAACAGCAAGGCAGCAGATAAAGTTACAGTAAACTATGGTCACCAAAAAGTGACACAAAGGAAAAGTCAACAACAATGATACAGTAAATAAGATGCATTAACTAAGAGAAGCATACCGTTCATTTCTGACCTATATTTAATATTTCACTGTTTAACAATTTTCAACTCAACTTTCACATTGAAGTCTAACGTTCTTTTGTCAAATCAGTTTATTTAAAGTCATTATAAAAATTATAGATTATGTCACAATTATAAAAAGCTAAATAAATGTTTCCCAATAATATGTTAGACTTTACCTACAACATTTCAATTCATAATAGTTACTAGTATTAACAACTACAACTTACTAACTCAAACCATTCAGTTATCTGAATTTCTTATAAAAGAACTAGGCTTTTTATTGATATTTCTTAATTCCAAATCAACCTGTCTTGCCTCAGCATTTTTTCCACATCCCAGAAGACGATAACATACCTTTGAAGAATCTGAACTTTTCATATATGGTTCAGCACAATGTGTAATACTTCCCTGTAGTACTTTTTCTATTCTAGCCACAAGGAAAATATCTGTATGAGGACATGTGACTGAGAATATTCCCTAGAAATAAAACAAGAGATAAATATAAAAGGAAAATGCACACACGTTTTACATTACATAATAGAAAGCTACCCGAAGCACGTAGGAAAACTCTCTACTTGTATCCAAAATCCTACTAATTCTTTAGGTTGCTAGTGCTCACCTGCTTTGGATATTGTAACACAGTTTCATGAATGTCTTGAATTCTGTGTAAGCTATCACCACTGCCATTCATCATTTGTTGAGATGCACTGGATATCATGTGCCTTACTGAGGTGTGGTTCAAATCAACATGGAAATCTGCTGAAATCTTCCGGTTGTTTTTAATATCAAATAGTGATAATGTAACAAAAAAAGGTTCTACCTAGACATTTAAAAAAAAGAATCAAGAGTCACTGCTGGCATCTATATTATTGCAAACACGTGCATGAAAGGAAGATGAGTCACATTTTTATAAACAGTTACTCACAGCTATTGCTCTAGATACTACTGACAACATGTAAAGAGAGTAAAAGAAAAGTTCCACTTTCTACAACACAACCAAAAGATTAGTAGCAAAGTTACTTTTCACAGGACTTTGGCTCTCATTTTTATTTAAAGGAGCAGAAAAAACCCCACAACGTTTCTCAATCACAGCAAGGAATTCCTGCCATTAGGAACAATGCCAACAAAATATTAAGACATTCATTACAATAGTAACAGAAAATAATTAGATTGTTTACGTTTGTCGTCGGTCCTTCTTCATTTTCCGCAACACAGCTTTGCAAATTAAAAGATAAATCGTTACACTTCACAAGAATTTTTTTTCCAAATTTCTCTTCAAATGGCTTCACTTCTGGTTCAATACCAGAAAAGTCAAGTTTCTTTAAAAAGAGAAAAGAAAACTTAAGTTGTTTCTCATCTCAAGGGGATAAACTTAAGAAAATACCATGCTTCCTTGTAAAAAAGTCTAACCTGTGCATCTGGATCCAAGACAAAAAGTTTAACTCTGCTTTCACTTTTTAACTTGATTTCTGCTTCTCTGGTACTCTGTTCAAAATAAGAAATAAAAGGCTTAGGTTTTCAATTTCATTCCTTTTGCTGTGATGTTCAAAGCTTTACATGTTTTTAATTCACGCACTCTTCCCTCCCTAACTGAGCTTTGCAACTCCTTAGTCCAAATTGCTCCGTCATACCCAGTAAAAAGCAAGAGAAGGCTACTCTCCTCTAAAGGCTTTTCCCGGTGTCAAAACACCAAAACGTACAACAGCAACATGTAACCTTCCAAGCTTATGGGAAGCACAGTCCAGTGTAGCTCATACAGCGCTTTGCCTCCTTAAACAACAGATAACTTTCATAACACCATTTTATTAAAAAAAAAAAAAAAAAAAGTATGAATGGACTTTAAAGCTCAGGGCTATCCTGAGACCATAAGGTTGCTCAGGAAACAGCAGGTTACCTAAATTAAGAAACACTATCAGAGCTCTTTTGCTTGTTGTTTTTTTGATATTTTTTGTTTGTTTTTTCTTTTCTTGAACTCTACTGCCAAAGAAGCGGTTTTCCTGTGGGTAGATGGAAAAAACCCTCACACTTAAAGGTTACTTTGCAGAGTACACTGTACACTGATCCTGCCTGGAATTTGCGGATACCTACCTATTAACAGTAAAACAAAAGTGAAGTGGAACAAAATAGAATGTGAAAACTGACCGTATACACAGGTTATTTTTCTAAAAAAAGGTATTATTTAAAGAGTATTCTATGATTTTTAAAGTCACAGGACATGAAAAATAGATGTATGCATATGCCAAAATTATCCATGTAGGAGAATTGCCATTCCCAAAGTAGTAGTTGGCTAAACAGGGATACAAAGTTTTATAGTACAGACAGGTGTCTATTTTTGCATCAGCCTGTACAGGTTACAAGAAGTTACCATCCCAAAATGCTCATAGCTGACCATCTGTTGGAAGTGATCTACTGTCTACATCTGCTTTGCTGGAGGTTGAAGAAACTGCTACTATATCTCAAGAAAAAAAAAACAAACACAACAAAAAACCCAAAAAACCATCTGCTCTAAGAGCTCAAAATCCTATTTTAGGTTAATAAGAACAATAATAAAAGAGAATTTGACTTAAAGGATGCATTACAGAATAGGAACTTCTGAGGTGTGATTTTGAGTATAGATGCTCAAATGTATTTCATTTACTTTATCTTCAACACACACACGAGAAAAGACAAGACTTGGGGTGAAAGACATGACCCAGACACTCGATAGCAGCAGAGTATTGGCAGACTTTGCTTGTTCAACAGCCAGTATGATTGAGAAATACAGGACTAAACTGCAAAGAAGTTTAAAGATGGCAAGAAGGTTGCATGTATGTTTTGGAAAGGGAATAGTCAGGGGCCAGAACTGAAGAGGAAGACGATCTAGTCATAGAAGCAAAACAGAAACTGTTTCAACCAAAGTATCTTGAATAGTTCTAGATTCTTTTGTGTTCTGTACACTAAAGACAAGACAATACAAAAATATGCATTTTTGACTGACAGATCAAGGGCAGTTGGTCAGAAGCCAGGAACTGAAAATGATCCTGTCTACAGCATTGCAGTGACCTTGTAATTCCATTTCCTCATCTGTAAAACAGGGACAACATTTTCCTACCATAAGGAACACTGGGACCAGTAACGGTTAAGGAGCTACTTAGGCACACTGATCATGACAGTCACACAGTTATTCAAGACAGAGGTCTAATTTGTTTTCTCTGAAGATTAAAAAAAACAAAAAGCAAAAAAAACCCAACAGAAAACCTACATTTACTCCTGGTACTTAAATTACGGATAAAAGGAACATGAAGCAGGCAGGACAGACAGAATGAGACGTATGTGTGCGCATCTGTTCACTGAAGCACAGAATACTATCTTATTTAGTTTATGTTGTAAACTAACAGCTGTTCATAGAAAAATGAAGGCTTGGAGATGTACTTGCAAGGGTTAAAACTTTTGTAGGAAGACTGTTTTTTCCCCTGTTGTCAGGTGCTCTACAATCACCCCTGAAGGAATTTCTCTTTCCTCATATGGATATGAGGTCAGCTATTTTGAAAATCTCCTCCCAGAACCAACAAAAATAATAAGAGCAACTATAAACTCTTCTAAAAGAAGGCTCAATGCCTTGTAAGTCTTCCACTTGGGAAAAAAAAAATCTGACCCAAACAACAGCTGAAAAGACAATGCAAGAAAGAATAGAGGACAAGATCCTCAAAAAATCCAGCATTTATATGAAAGTAATCAAGTTAAGGCACAAACAGTGTACACTAAGGCAAACTGGCAGATTTTTCCCTGTACTTCTCAGGGAAGAAAGGCTGGAAAAATACATTAGATTATGAGATCCAAATTATTTTGAAAGGCAGTATTTAGTAAACACGAACTAGAACAGGAAAACCACAAAAGTTATTCTGAAGGAAACAGAAATTTAAATATGTTATAACCATGGAATAAAAAAAGCCAGTGCTTAAAGAGCTGAGAAAAATAACATGCTAGAAAAATATCTACCTTAAAGAGCTGCATGCTTCCAATCAGAAGGTTATAGAAACAGCATTTGTAGTACTAAAACTATACGCAGGTGCTGCAAGCCCTGAATAAAGTCCCCTCTGGAAGTCATATGGAACCTAAGCCTTCCAATAACTGTGACTATAAAGAAAGAAAAGTCTTCCATACAATAGGACCATCTAATTTCACATTTGTTTCTGAAATAAATTTTCACAGCCTCATGTAAGTATGCTGTTTGATGCTTACAGCTCTTCTAAGCAAAACTTGATTGTATGCACCACAATTAAAATTAATTTCAAAATACAGCCATAGCTGGAATTGCTATTATGTGATAATCTTTTTTTGTGTGCATGTGCTAAGTTGATTACAAAGCAGTAACAGAAAGAATTAAGTCAGCCAACCAATTTGGGTGCTAAAAGCCTGTTGATGTATTCTGACTGAATCTTTTGACATGCTAGCTACTGCAATAGGCAGAACTTGTGTTAGTGCTTGTTCTCAGTTTATAAGCTCCACTCCCTTCAGTAGTTACTAGGTCAGACAGATCCTCAGAAAAGAAGTGAAGAGCATTACAGACCATGGTCGAGCAGAAAAGTTTCAAGACTGCAGGCTGTGCCACACAGAAGAAACAGTAAGGAAGTCACAGGAAGGAGTTTGGATTCTGCAGCTTCAATAGGAAAAGGTCACCAGCTCCAGTCCTTAGATGATTTAACAAAAATTTCTCCCTTACAGAACTCACAAAACTTATTGCAACACACAATTCGCTGCTTTAACTGAAATAAAGTCTGCAAAAAGGCTGAGGAAGAGTTACTGTTATTTTCTATTTATTTCTGTTTTATTCTCATTTCTATTTCTACCACACCTACGTAAGAACAAAATTGAAAAGCAAGAACTATGGCAATAGAAGAAGTATCCATGAACTTGCCAGCCTGTTACAAACACAAGCATCTTAAAATACATTCACATCATCACTGCTACTAAGCTCCTCTGGATTTCTAAGTATAAGAATAAAACTTGACTTCAGTATAACTAGATTTCTATAGAAACACTTTAGCACTCATCCTCATGCAATAAAACAACACATAATATGCAAAATACAATAAACTAATAAAACAATAAAACACGCTGCTTTTAAACAGCATGCCAACATTCATACAAGCAACTTTAAGACAGTAACTAGTTTGGTTCCAAAAGCAGAAAATGAAGAAGTTCAATAACCACATCTATTCACAAAAGAGCTTCTAAGCTTTCAAAGCACCACAAACTGACTGGAAGCTGGAAGCCAATACCTTACCTTTACTGAAAGTTCATGTCATTAACTTATATTTAGTACTTTACATCCTGAGTTGGCATTTAGAATATATATATTACCTTTGCAATTTCAGGATAGTAGTTATCAAAACCACTTGATGAGCTTTCCATTTTGATTTGTTCATCATCTGAAATTATAAAACCACAGTTAAAAAAAAATTAAGAAGCCAAACAAACAAAAACCCAAACTACTCACAAAACTCCATAGCAAAAACAGTTCTGGTTTTTTGTTGGGGGGCAAGGGGGTGTCTTTTGGGGGGGTTTTGTTTGTTTTAAACTCCTACCCCCCCAAAAAATGATAATTGTTAACACAAACAGGTTGTGGACACCTCCATCATTTCATTTTGACGCAGTGAGTGACTTCTTGGAGGATGTAACCAGTTACATGAAAATAGCTTTAATATTAATTCTGATAGCTGCATGGGGAAAGAGGATACTCAATGAACAAATTTACATTACTCTTTCCACTATGCATTGTAACTTGATTTCAAAACAAGTTCCTTCTGTTCATTAGGTTCCCTGCTCTACTCTCCAACAGTTACTGGATTTACAAAGCAACCATTCAGTTAGCTATAAGCATCCTACAGTTCTAAGGTCAATTGGGGACCACTGATTAAAATGTCTTTCACAGAGCTACAGGCTTCTCTTTTTCCATTTTGTTTTTGTTGCAAACTTTCTACTAATTTCTGTCATCTTCAGCAAAGACTGTGATATGTCAATTTTAAACTTTAATGATCCCTTTTGGTATACTGTGCTATTCATAAGCAGAACAACCTTCTATAACCTCTTCCAGGTTCTTCTGGACATGCATACGCTTGGCCTCATATCAGTTGCCCTCCCCATCCACTCTCAAGAAGAAAAATGCGTGAGAGGACCTCTAGACTATCCTTTTGTCACCAAACTATCAACTATACCGACATCAAATTCCTTACAGATATCCTTACCTACTCTCAAAGGGCTCCAACAGAAAAGATTCTACACCCAAGCAATCTATTTCAGTACTTTCAGTAAATATTTGTGGTCAAGGGAGTTACATCTAAATTAAAGTCCCTCACTGCAACCACAATTTCTTATTCTTCTACCTACAGTGATCACAGAACAGATTATTCCATTTTCTGCAGCATTTTACTTATTTCAAAACAAGTCCCTCTTAAGTTCTCTTTTTCCCTTAAACTGCCTCGGTCCTGATTTTTTATGTGGGTTTTATTTTTCTAGACTTCTCATCAGTCTCATTATTCTCTTCTAAACTTCACTCAATTGGAATCAATACAGAACAGTGCTATTTTAATGCCAAAAGATCAAAACTACCAGTTCAAATAGATAGTGAATAGGCTTATAATTTTTATGACCAAAGAAAACAAAAAAATTTAGCCACAGTAAAATCTTTCTTTCCAAACACATGTACATAGATATTGTCACATAACTGTATTAGCATTGCTAGAAATTCTGTTTACCTTCATGAGACTCTCCATTTCTTTTTTCTTGCATTGCAGCCTCAAAGTTAAGCTGAAGGATTTTGTTCAGAGTGTTTATCCATTCTTCCATTTCAAGTTCACTATCTGCAGCCAAAAGGTAACTACTCTTGTCTTGCATCTTGAGCTCAAATGCAAAACGTCTGACTTTATTGTTCTATAAGAAAATAAAAGATCTTTAAAATATCTTTACATACTCACAATCACAGGAAGTTATATGTATTCCAGATTTTTTAACAGAAATATACAGTTTGATATTTTGAACAAGTGTATTATAATTACACTTTTTCCTCTATGACGTTTGACCCAGTGAAGTTAACTGTAACAGGTGGAAGTATGAAATATAACAGCCCATCGTTCAGTTTCTCCTCATCAGTCTGCTTGTAATCATGTTTAAAAAAACGAAAAATCCAACTTCCAAATATCAAGTCTTCATGTATTCAGATCATCTAGAAGTGAAGCTAACTAAGATCTACTGATAAAAAAAAAAAAAGAGTGAAACTGTATTAATATTTCAGTGAGAATCATTTGCACATTGGGATTTTATACTGGACCTTAAATCATAACCAACTTCAACCCTAAATGCCCTGATGTTGCTCGTCTTTGAAATATACATAAAGTTGGGAATCAATTCCTCCTTTGCTCCTCAACCATTATTATCATCCTTTTTGCACAAGTTAAATCAAGTCTGCAAATCCTACCTAGCTTGACTTCTGTTCCTGGGAACGAATTCACAAGTCGTACATGAAAATTCTTTATTATCATCAATTTAATTTTAAAAAGAAGGATAATTCATCAGATAGACTTTAATGGTTGGGAGATTTTTTGTTTGCTTGTTTTAAGTTAAATTAAATGTTAAATTACATTTTAGTTTCGCTTCATCTCAGATTTTTCAATTAACAGACTAGCTAATGGTTGGCAAAACAGTCAGCTTTCTGCCAAAGATGAGTTTCTGTTAAGGAGGATACAAACAAATGTATGGACTCCAGATTTAAGGCATTCTTACCAATTAATATCAATACTGAAGTAAATGAAAAAATCTTAAGAACAGTAACCTTTAACTTTCACAGTATAAAACCTTGACACAAGTGGAAAATCTCACACTTTTCAGTTTTCACAGATCGCTGAATCAGAGCAACTCTGCCTATATATATGACTGTATGTGTGAATATATACAGTGCATATATTATGTGACTGCACGTCTCTGATGCAGAAAACTCTCAATATACTTCAGTATTAAAACAAAACAAAAACACCAACAAAACCAAAACAAACCACAAAATCTACCCCAAACAGTATTTTGGGAATTCCTGACTTTTCATTTAGTATCTTTAAGTTTGGGGGAAAAAAACCCAAAACACGTAACAAAACTCCTCTAAATAAAACAACAAAACAAACACAATAAACACTCAAGCAAAACAAAAAAACTACTGCACATATTCAGCATTCCTCTTCTACAAGTAAGGATGAGGAGCTTATTCTGCTCTGTTCTGCTTTGTCTTTAATGTCTGTTAGTGAAGTCAGCGTTTTTCTCTCTTGTGCATGTACTGCCTTTGAAAAATAAGTAAGCATGTGTGTTAAATGAACTCAAAATAGAAATGAAAAACGTTACACGAGTGCAATAAGAACTAATCCTCCCTCACCAAAAAGACCTACTCTGAAACAAGTAGTTTGATTCTGAGAACAAAAGCTTGTAAGCATGTCTACCTAAGAAGAACAACCACTTCTATGGATTCCAAGACAGACTACTGCAAAGTATCGTGGCTGGGGTCCTTACAATGTTTTATTGTATTTTCCTCTTCCATTAAGTGGAAATGCAGTTTCTATTGTGTAGAGACCACTTTTTTCCCCACATGAGTTTCCAGATGCTAATACACCATCAGTAATAAGTAACAGTAAAGCAAGGAATAAAATAGGCTCAGCCAGAGAGGATACAGTACATAATATAAAATAATAAAATCACAAATCTGGAATGGGAACATTACATGTAATATTTTATAGTTCAAAATCTCATTTACTTGCCCCTCACCAGTAATTCAAGAGCAGAAAATGGCTATTTCCAATCCCCTTTATTCTAGTCATTAAATGACTTCTTGGCTTCATAGAAGTGAGCATTAACTTTTAGGGTTTCCACCTGACGTTGATCCATAACTAGTGTCAAATTTACACATGCAGTTCTGAATATCAAGATGCTAAGATGACTGCTGATGGTACTGCAGAATACAGTATAGCATTCAAGACATAAGCGAACTATAAACTTTAAGTATCTGAAGTACAGTTTCACTTACAGATTTCTGTATCAGCCCAAAACCTTACTTGCAGTAGAACAAAGGAACAGTAATAAAAAGAAAATAAAAATAAAAAGCTTCTGACAGAGTCTGAGGAAATTTTAGGTTACTTGAATTGAACTGATGGAATAGAATGTATGAAACAGCGCTTCATGAAAGATGATTTAGAAAAAAGGGGATTTTCAGGATTAAAAAACCAAAAACATACAATCACAGAATGGCTGAGGTTGGAAGGGACTTCTGGAGGTCATCTAGTCCAAACTCCCTGCTCAAGCAGGGCCACCTAGAGCTGACACCCGAGGACCAGGTCCAGACGGCTTACGAATATCTCCAAGCATGGAGACTCCACAACCTCCCTGGGCAACCTGTGCCAGTGCTCAATCACCGTCACAGGGACAAAGTTTTTCCTGATGTTCAGAGAGAACCTCCTGTGTTTCAGTTTGTGCCCATTGCCTCTGGTCCTGTCACTGCTCCATCCTCCACCCCTCCATCATCTTCATAGCCCTTCACTGGACTCTCTCCAGTATGTCCATGTCTCTTTTTTACTGGGGAGCCCTAAAGAGGACACAGGACTCCAGGTGTGTCCCCACCAGTGCTATTGAGCTGTTCAGAGGGGAAGGATCACCTCCCTCGACCTGCTGGCAACACTCCCCGTAATGCAGCCCAGGACACTGTCAGCCTTCTTTGCATCAAGGGCACATTGCTGGCTGATGTTCCACTTGGTGTCCACCAGGACCCCCAGGCCCTTTTCTGCCAAGCTGCTTTCCAGCTGGTTGGCCTGGCCAGCACCTACTGGTGGCTGGCATTGTTCTCCCCAGCTGCAGGACTTAGCACTTCATTCTCCTGCAGTGTCTTTCTTTCATTTGTAACTTCTGAAAGTCTCAGCGTTTTCTGATGATGTAAACTAATTCTGTAGTGCCCACAACAGTCTGTACCAGAGCCACAGGCTGCGCACCATAAACAAACCACTGCCTAAGTGGGAAACAAAAGGGGCCAGAAACAGCCCAGAAGACGGAGAACATATATTATCAGGGAGAGGAAGCCGACAAACAGAAGGAAAGATACTTTTTAAGTGCAAGACAAAGACTACAACTGTGTTTAGGAACCATTTTTTTTGCTTGTTGATTTGTTTTAAAAACACAAATCAAACTCATTTCAGTGGACTTGCCCTGAACTGTACCCCTAAGGCAAAACAATTTGTGTAAATCTGTATATAGAACTTGCAGTATGATTAAATTTGTTATAGAAGTAAGACATCCATGAGAAGTATCTATTAAGTGTGTATCCAAAAACATTATTACAATATTTTGAAAAAAAATAATCCTCTGTAAAGGTGTTTTCTGTCTCTGCATAAATCTTCAAAGAACTTTATACTAAAAAAAAAATATTATTTAAGAAATACATTTTTATTAAACTTTGCCTATTTCTATCCAAGTTAACAAAACCCTAAAACCCAAGAGCTTTTTCCAGGTATGTTGTGCCTAAGAAAACAGTTACATGCTGTACTGTAAATACATAACACAATCACAAGAAAAAAAAATATTCTTTTCTTTGGCACTTGCTACTGACAAACATTTTACCAAAGGCCTTCACTTTTTAAAATAAAGAAAAGCACTTAGAAGTAACATTCTAAAGGTCAAATGAAAGCATCTGGAAGGGTGACTGAATTTAATACAAGTTCCACAACAAAAATCCCACACAAGAAGCTATGCAAAACATTTTACAGTTCACGGAAGCACAAAATGTAACTGAAATGAACTTCAATTTTATACTGTCATTACTTCATCATTATTTAAGGCTGGATTTTTTTGTGTGTTTGCCTTAAAATGTTGTTCAGCGTTTTTGATAAATACTTGACATCAACTAGTAATCTATATTCTTTTCAGAAAGATATTTAAAATTCAGCACCATGACTTTTAAAATGTCATTCACTGTTTTTCAAGATGCAGTGTTGTCTAATTGTTCCTGTGCATAACAGGTATTTATCTGCATCTGACAAAAGCTGTCTGTATTTTTAAAAAATCCATTTGCTATCAAATACAGAATCAATTGGAGAACAGGCAGAATAATTATAATTACCTGAACCACTCCCATGCATGAATCAAGAAATATCGATCCTTTAGGTTCTTTCGATATTTTCTCATCTTTGTAGAAATTGAGATTATAGGATCCATCACCAAGTTGGATTAAGTGGAAAAATCTTCTTTTAAATGACTAGTGAAAAGAAAGGAGGAAAGAAAAAACAATTACAACACTATTTTTAATCAACTTCATATTACAAAATGTAACACCGTAGGTTATAGAAAAAAAAAGCTTTTGTTTACACATAACCTAATCAGTATTCTCAAAACATAAAAACAGAAAACATTAATTAAAAAAAAAATTAACTTCAAAACCAGCAGCCAGATTGTTCTATATTATTTGAAAGTATTTTGGACCCTTTGGAAGGTATTTAAAACTGACTCTACAGTACTGTATGTAGTAGATATTTACTGCGATAACTGTAAAAATGTGTTTGTTTCCTAATAAAGAGGCAAGAGAAAAAACAGCTCATATTACATAATCTCTTTCCTACTAATAACACACCAGGGTCCAGTTAAGAAAATTATTTAAAACCCTCAACTTCTCCCACGTACTGGATTTTTAATGCATTTTTTCTGTTTTAAGTAGAATAAAAGGAAAGTAAGATTTCACAGATACAAATTACACACAAGCCTCCCTCTTTCATCGTACACTTTGTTTTTAGAAGTAAATCACATACAAATTGACTTTTCAAAGGCACAATGATATTTAATATTGGTGTTCACTTTTTACCACATGTAAGACACTCTTAAACCTACTCTCATTGTCACACTGATTGCACTATTCATGTTGCCTTTGTACAGCCATCCTTGTTTTGTTATTCCACCTTTCTGAGAGCCAAGAGATGCTGCATCCTGGAAATGGGAAGAAAAAAAAAAAGTAAAGTTTTCCATCACAGTCTGAAACTGTTGTATTTATTGAAAATTTCAGAAGTCATTTTTAAAAGATGGAATAGCTATGATGGAATAGCTATGCTCATAATGTAATTATAATAATGTACTATGAGTCCCTGCTGAAATTCTATAGCTTTCTAATTCCAATTATTTTATTTAAAGTGCAGGGAATGAGATTGACCTCATCTAACTTCTGATAAGTAACTTGGCCACTTCTATAGTATTTCTCTCTGGTCAGCAGCAAGACCCAACTTCTAGACAGCTAAATATCAGTCAACATATATACCACTGAAATAGGGGAAAGAGGGAAAACTCAAAACATTTACTTTGTAAGCTTTTTTATATATTTTAATCTTCCAGTGCAAGAATTTTTACCAGTTTCTATTACCAAAAAGAACAATGTAAACTCTTGCATACCCAAAACTTCATTCGAGATTTCTGAAACCATTTTGCTGTATATGTCTTACTTCAAAGACAATACTTCAGTATTTACAGAGCACTAAGTCTTGAATTGTTGAATTGGATCTGCCCTTTTACAGATCAGAATCAAAGTTTTCAAAAGAGAACAAGACCAAACTTGGCAGTAACAGCAAGTTCACAAACAGCAAAACCAATGCATGCATGACTCGTCACATCCACTGCCTGTATACCTCATCCATCTGCCAGTTGATGGAACTTACTAACTACATCAAAACCCATAGCATGTTAACAACTACCAAAAAGCAGTGCTCTACCATCAAAACCAATCAAAATGAAAGATTCGTAATTGCCACAGAATAAACATTAAATCACCAGTTCAAGTAATTTTTAGAGTGCTACCAAGCTGAATTTACCATGGTTTCTAGCTGACATAACCCATTTTGACACAGCAAAAACATTAATGAATTGGAAGTGTAGGAAGATTTTCAACCATTTAGAGGAGAAAAACTCCTTCTAGAGGAGAAATACTCCCGATAATTTATTATCCAAACAGTCAAAATCAGGTGAGTATCCAGTCGAAAACAGAACCACTAAACTTCCTCAAGTGCCTCAACTACTTTTTCTAATTCCTTTTCTCAGCTACTAAGAGAACATAAAAAAACCTGATTACATATGGGGGACAGAGTCATTAGTTCAACAACTGAACATTAAAGCCAAATTTTGGAATAATATTCTGGAACTAAATCAAGAAATTTTCTGTTAAAAGTTACTACTTATTTTATTTACAGATTTAGTCTGTCTAGCTTGCATATTCTCATGCAAATTTCAAAATGCTGCAAACAAAAGGCAAAAGAAGCATCAGTATGCTCCTTCAAAAATTCTAGTCAGCTTGATCCTATGGAAGTTAGGCCTAGTAAGAAAGACATGGTCACCAACTATCAGAGCATCTGATACAATACCCATTAGCCCCCACCCCTGCTGTATTACCCAGATAACTATTTTCTTGTACAACAATCAAGATACAGAGACAACTTAAAACATTGGGCTTCCAGCTATGGTTCTCCACCTCCACTGGTGGGAATTCTGCACAAGGAGAGGATGGTTTAAAACCACCTTTACAAGTGTAAGATGAGTAGATGATAAGTTATCATCAAAACTTGGCACTAAACAACCAACGCTTCTCTCTAATTTCACAAACCATACATACAATCACCTGACATGGCAAGAATTCCTTCACTACCCCTGTTAACAAAAATTAAGATTAGTTCGATTAAGACTCTTATTCCCATTCAAAGTCTCTGAGGTGCAACATTTCCCAACTGTGTTGAACTGCATGATGCTTCCTAACAACAAAACTGACTGTCATTTGGGTGTCTTTATTTACACCATTCCTTTCTGTCAGGCAGAATTCCTGCCTACAGAGCCAAAAAGCTACTGAATCTTTCCAGCCCACCACCTGTTAATACAAAGGGACTCAGAACCCGGCCAATAACACATGACTTCTACACTGCAAACACACTTCCCATTTCCAACTGCTAAGCTAATTTCCTCATTTTTATTACTGCTGCACACTGTGCTTCACTTTTTTTAATGATCTTTCCCACAAAGCTCAGGGTCAAAATTTACTTCAACAGCAACTGATTCAACAAAAACAATTCCTTATCTTGATCCCATACCCCAGCCTGATTTAAAAATTCTGTTTACAAACACCAACCTGATGGCCTGATAGCCCGAATTAATTTTGGAAAGGTAATTATCTCCTTTTTAATGCTGCAAGATTAAACTAATCTTTATCTGGTTTTCCTCCAGTTTTTAACCACCTGCAGCTTTTTGTTTTCTATCATCCTCTTACTAAATCAGCTTTCTTAAAAAAACAAAACAAAAAACCACAACAAAACCACAAAATCAAAACCACAAACATAAGTGAAACAAAAAGATTAATCTCTTAATCTAAGATTTGCATATATGCTTTTTGGCACACAAAGATGTTAATGTTTGAAAGAAACCTCTTGTATTAATTCTTCCCTTGAGGAAAGAATTTATGGTCCCCCGCCCTGTTCCCATTAATCTCACTTTTCTTCCTAGCATCCTTTTTTCTTATTTAAGTTCCTCATCAAAGAGTAACAGACCTCGTCTCCAGTGACTCTACCTCCAAAAGAGATACAACGCTCCTGCCTGCTCTAACAAGAAACTGGGCAGCAGGAAAGAGGAAGACCTTCCCACTTACACTTCCTAGTAAAAACCAGACCACCGGATAATAGCCCAGCTATAGTTTTTCAGAGTTTAACTAACTGCAGCCGTAAGTATTTTTCCTACTAACGATCACAGTCAATTATATCTCCATTTTTTTCATGTTTAACTCACTGTTGTCAAAAACACTTCTGTTGTCAGAAATACTATCACAGTAAATAGTGGCAAGTCTTTTTAATTTCAGTATAACAGAAAAAATATTCATCCCCATCTTACAAATAGGAAGATTTGGATACAGATGCATGAAATTATTTGTCCAAATATCACAGTGCAGATTAATAGCAGTGCTGGAGAAACAGCATCCTGTTCAGGAATCTACTTATTCAGATGCATTCTCTGGACTATTTTTTCACATTTAATCCAGGAAAACTTGTAACAAACTACTTTCATTTCACATACAGCAGTTCTGAATACAAGGAATTTATAGAAGCAAACTAATTGTCCAAGAGCAAAACCCACAACAATAATTTTATTTTCATTCTTTTCTGTGAGGCAAGAGTTCAAGTACTTGTAAGAAAAGAAAACACCAACATTTAACCACTGTGTTTTGAAACACAGTGTGGTAAAAATTAAATAAATCACAAAAATAACAGAAGCAGTTACTGAAAAAAAGTCTTTGACATTTGAAACATACTTGAAAATTGCTTGAGGCTACAGATATCTCTGGGTTCCCTAAGCCAATGACAAAAAAAGAAAATACCTTGGAGTTTTAGTACATTTTTTCAGCTTTTGTTTCCATGACAAATCCCCAGGTCTTATCCTATACTCAAATTTGTGACAAACTAATTTTAACTCACACCGTACGCTACACAGTCATGCATGCTTAAGTGTGCATAAAGTCATGTTGGAACAGATTCACCTATGGTTTTACTTGACTTCATGACTAAACTGCATGAAATATTTCTCTATATATGACTGTCTATACAGAAACAGTATCAGACAAGACAGATTTCAAGAAAGCTGAAGGATTATCTGTCATCAAGTATTAAAACTTCAGTTCCACTATCTGTCAAAAGCTGTTCTACTGACATGACAGATCTCAGGAATACAAGGCTATTTGAAAGGAGATAGGTAAAATAACTACATTTTTTCCCAATCAGATTGTTCAAGCTCTCTGTTTTCATTTACTGACTTCAACACTTAACTTCTAACCTCTCCTTACCTAACATTCTTTACTGAAAGCAAAAGACAGTAAGGAATTCTTATTTTCTCACCTCATCTTTATCTGCTTCTTCATCCACTTCATATAAATGAACTGGAAGCTTCTCCGATTTTGTCCCCTTACTATGAAAGAAAAAACATCTAAAACACTAGAAATTTTGTGATTAGTTACATATTACATAGCTGCAAAAATAAAGATGTTATTTTCCTAACTGAAAAGGAAAAAGCACAAGAATAACTGAGTAAAAGCACGCATTTTTCACAAAATGTATTTCTTAGCCAGTAATTTTCACAATTTGCACATCTGGCCAAAGTCTTTCTTTTGTTCTACTTGTCACTGTCCTCATATGTAACTGGAGGGAACCAAACGCCTTCTCATTCACTGTGCTCCCATCTTAGGAACAAGAATTCATACCTGTAACTACTGGCTTCTTTTATGGCAAGGTATTTATTTAAATACCTACTGACTAGCACGGTTTCTGTCCTGGGCAAGTGAAAACCAGGTACTGGCTTTTACAAAACCTGTGAATGTATCAGAACTTTTCACAGGAAAAGAAACCTCTTTCTTAACTGATAGATGCAGGAGAACAGGTAGGGAAGACGTCGATCTTCCAGAGTTGTGGGATTCAGAGTATTCAGTCACTTTCAGATAATGAAAAAGTTGGAAAAGATTTATTTAGCAGATGGTTTAGAAAGTCTGTAATAGATGCGGATTAGGCTGTTGCTTTGAATCATCCTGTGAAAATCCGCACTAGTTCACACAGCTGGTTTAACCATCTCAGGTTCTATTCCCTAAGCTCCCAAAGAGAGTTCCAAAAGCTGCCTTTGTTGCTACAAAAACAGGATATTACCATTATAGTTTTGTCTAAACATCAGCCTGTTTTAGTTGCAATACTTACATTCACACTGTCAATGATATAAATTCTTGTTCTGACCTGTCTATTAATAAGGCAGCTTTATTACAGTATCTTTCAGAAAATGTTTTAACAAGGTTTTATACCTTCAAGTACATCAACATAAATTCCATCCAAGAAATCTCTATCATCTCTACTGGCTGTTAAACATTGATATAGCATATTTCAAGTTACATATTACACATATTAATAAATTTCTGTAATAAACACATTTTTATTAAATACAGTTAGAGTTCCTTCACAAATTCAAAATTCTTATTATACCACTAGATAACATACTTACTTTGGAAGCTGTCGAAACTCTCCTGAGTAATCTTCATATCTATAGTTAACAACATGCCAGTCTGAATTGTAGGTTTTGATGCACTGTTTAAATGAAAACTAAGTATCAATATTATTTGGAAGAGGATTAACAGCATTCCCTAGATACACAGACAAAAAAAACCTCTTAAGGTATGGTTGTTTATGAACTACCATGATTACATGTCGATCTCTGAAAATTCTGTACACTTCCCTTCTTTTGCAACACAGCTTTTTGCAACAAGTGCTACTTTTCAACAGGACATTATCATCTGCTAGACGTTATAAACTAGAAAATGGAGAATACACTCAGCATCTGGATTAACCATATTCAGCTGTCTGAAAAGTTAAAGCAGCTTTTCACTGCAACTGAAAACATGATTGAGTCTTTAGAAAACTCAGCATTAAAATACAGATGCACTATTAAAACAGAATATTCAATTTTGCACGTACAGATATGGAGAAACAAAGACTATCTTTTCCTCAAACTTACATTTCTAGTGCAATTAACTTCATATTTAAATTTAAACTACATGCTTACAGTTGTTGAAAAGCAAGTAAGTCATTAAGCTCTGGACTAGATCACAGGAAATATTGTTTTACTCCACCCATATTGCTACAGCATAAAAGTACTGATTTATCTTGGCTTTGACAGAAATAACATAAAACTGACAAAATCTGTTGCCAGAAACCATATGGTATAAAATTTTATATGTTACACATAAAGACTTACATGTACACAAACATAGCATCTAATAATTCAAAAATATTTTCTTTATATTTTAAAATACTAAGTTAATACTTGCCAACCAATTGTTTCTGCAGAAAGTGACTAAACTTGATGAATTACCTATAACACTACTCCTCCCTCCTTGTCTACTTTCTTCAAATTTATCTTACAGCTGTTTAGGTTAGGTAATAAGGGCATCTATCACTGTGGAGAAAACACTTTGAGGTTTGAGGTAGATTCAGCTATTTGGAGCTCCTTCAGTTTTCTTGGAATTACAACAGACATTTACTTGGTTTGGACGTCAAAACATCAGCTTAAAATATATCAGTAGAAAACCAGTAGATAACATAAAAAAGACACAAGTTTTAAACCTTTCATTCCTAAAAGGCTTCAACAAGATGTAAATGAAACAACATCACTTCATTTGAGGATGTTTCTTCTATATATAGCATACAAACGGAGCAGTCATAATGAATTTCAGCCTCTACAAGCGTTACAATTATGAATACCTCTGTTCCAGCAAACTGTAAAAGATTATTATGAACAAACTAAGAATGACTGGTGTGGAACACTTTATCAAGAAAAACATGTCACATTGATTCATGCAGATTTACTGTTGCCTCTGATCTTATGTATCGAAATCACCCATGTTCATCTGGGAAAGCCAAAAGCATAAAGGTGGTAGGAGAGAAGCATCTGCAAAACCCAATTACACAAACAAAATAATCCAAAGCTATCCTGTAATTCTTCTTTTCCAGCCACCAGTGAAAAAACCCTGTAGGTTTTCCTGCAAATTTTCCCTTGAAATCCTTGACAAGCAAATAGCAATAAATATTTAATAATTTTTTTCAGGGCTTTCCCCTATGTTTTTTAAATGGTAAATGAAACAGAAGAAAAACAATTCAGGTATAATATTGCTATTACACACAGCCACATGCAATTCCAACATTACCTCAGTTACAAACAAGCTTTGGGCTTCCTTCTCTGCATTTTCAGGAACTGTTGAACGAATGTATCGACTCTGCCGTTTCAGTAATGCTGTCTGATAAGCAACAAAAACAATAAATCAAACTTGCAATTAAAGGAAAGATGGCATTATGGCAACTTTCAGTATATAATAAGACAGAAGCTTAGCAGAAAATACCCCGTGAATACACTGTTTCAGAATAGCCAGTTAATGAGAATTTGCTTTCAAAGATTAGCAGCGTGTTCATTCTTTCACAGCAAGGGCAAGGTTGGAATCGATAAGAAATAGATGCCATAGAAAAGTGTTTTCCTCTATTCTGTTAACACATACAAGAAAATACTAGCAATAACAACTCCACCATGACAACATAACTCCAATATTTTGAAGACAGACATTAGGGTAGTGTTATTACTAAGTATAAAAGCTATTACTCAAGAAAAGGGTAGATTTAGATTAGATATTAGGAAGAAATCCTTTCCTATGAGGGTGGTGAGGCACTGGCACCGGTTGCCCAGAGAAGCTGTGGATGTCCCTCCCTGGTTCAAGGCCAGGTTGGAGCAACCTGGTCTAGTGGAATGGAAGGTGTCCCTGCTCACGGCAGCAGGGTTGGAACTAGATGATCTTCAAGGTCTCTTCAAATCCAAACCATTCCATGAAAAGTAACAAAACCACACCAAAACAAGCAGAGTAGTTCTCCAGATCTCAGCTGGCAAAAAAATGAGACTTGCACCGTTAAACTGCAGGTTTAGAAAGAAGGTCTGGATCACTAAAGTACAAACTTTAGCCTACCAAAGGCTGCAAATCAAGTCAGAACTTATTCGTGTCCTATGCTAGAGTTCAGAGGGGCATAGAAAGACTGCCAGAGAGCAGGAAACCTCTCTGTGACCATGAAATTCTGCTTCTCAGACCGACGCTAAAGTAAGCCTTAGGGTACTGCACCATGTAGAAAAGAATCTCGCAGCTTAGATCATCAGAGTTGGACAAGAGAGTTTCCACAGCCTGGATGTGGAAGAGCTATACCTATTAGCTATACTCCACACATTGCAGTACCAGGAAGGATCAGAGAAAAACGTGAAAAGAAAAAACTCCACGTATAAACAGTCAAAAACAAAGGGTACACAAGTACATTACTTTAACTGATCTCTCTTGGGAGCTGGATCCATAAGGTGATTATTTCCGACATTACCAAAGCCTCTCCCCATATTTTAAAATGCAAGCACGCACATACACATACATCATACTCGAAAAGAAAAATTCGGAAGGAAGGACTGTCTTCTCTACAAACCCCTTCTTCACAACTACACTGGTTGAACTGTTTCATAGAAGTGAAATGTTTTAACTCTCTGGGTTTGAGTTACCATTTGATTTATTGAAAGCATCAGGAATTACAGAGTGTTTGTCTCACACTCTCAAAGAGGACAAAAAACCCCTTTCAATTACTGTCTGACATCATCGCAATTAAAAGGTTTTTTATCTTCTTTAAGGGAGCCGCTTTTAACGCTAGCCAGGATTCACACGCACTGCTGATGCACACAATTAGTAGACTCTTTTACTGATAACACTTTCCTAGTGAGTCTCAGGGATGTAGGACAGTAGCACTATTGCTGAGGTTTCAGAGAAGGCCACAGCAGAAAGGACATTTCACCAAGTCTCACAGCCAAGGAGTACTTGCTACTTGAAACCTGATGCAGTACAGATAGTGAATCTGTCCACAATCAGCGCAGACTGTGATGGATATAGTTTAAGATTTCCAAACTCCTTCTGTCACAAGGTTGTGTTTGCTAGTGAGACTTAGTGTTACTTGGGATTTTAGAGTGTATAACCAATTTGAAGTCACGTTTCCCATTTTACTTATCTCAGGCTAGAAAGTATTTTCATGTTCTTGACAGTTTTAGCAAATGGCTCTGTTTCTGAGGTTAAACAAATAATATATTTTATTGATGTTAAAATCTGGCATGCAATTTTCTGAGTCATCCTAGTCCCCCTTCCCCATGCTTTAGGGCGAAGCAATAGCAAGATGGTCAGGGTTCTTCCTAAGACAAACATGCTTTTAGGTGGCACTCAAGAACTGCCAAAAGACAGTCAAGTATTTTGTAGTGGGGTGTCTTAGCACAATGTGTACTTAAATATTTAAAAATGAACGTATCAATGTGCAGCTATGGTGGGCCTTTTTCCAAGTCACAGTTTATACAAAAGACAATGCTGTAAAGTCTGAATCAACAAAACCAATCTTCAGCTCTATCAAGATGAAAAATGAGCACGTGTAAGTTTTTCATATACAAAATATTTAATAAAATTTAAAATATTCAAAACTAAATCACATATAAAGAAGTAGTTCTTAAAATTATTCATTTCATTTTGGGAAATGAGGTGCCAACACTTCTATTTCTATAGTAAAAAATAATGGCAGACATTAAATGTCCAGTGTTTTGTCTAGAGTAGGAACTTCTCTTCCTCAGCAACTCTACACTGAACAACATGTCCACATGCGGATATTTTAGAGGAAAGGACTACAGTAGATGTAGGTGAGAGACAGAAGCCAACCAACACACAACATTCCTCAAGCCCATTTGACCTGTCTTCAGACATGTCCATTTTGGTTTGTTATTCTCTAGTTTTTGCCTTTCTACCTCCTGTGTTTTCAGCATGGGTGTTTTATATTTTTTTCTCCACTTTAGAGGTGTTCACTCTGCTGCAGTGACCATGAAATGGTGGAGTTCAGGATCCTGTGTGGAGGAAGCAGGGCGATAAGCAGGATCAAAACCTTGGACCTCAGGAGGGCTGACTTTGGCCTCTTCAAGGAGCTACTGGGAGGAATCCCGTGGGCCAGGGCTCTCGAGGGCAGGGGGGTCCAAGAGTGCTGGTCGTTGTTTAATGTCACTTCCTCCATGCTCAGGAGCGGTGCATCCCCCTGAGAAAGAAATCGAGCAAAGGAGGCAGGAGACCTGCATGGATGAGCAAGGAGCTTCTAGCTGAGAACAGGTGGAAGGTCCATGGAATGTGGAAAGAGGGGCAGGCCACTTAGGAAGAATACAGGAGTGTCGCCACAGCATGCAGGGGTGCAACGAAGAAGGCCAAGGCCCACCTGGAATTGAATCTGGCAAGGGATGTCAGAAACAACAAGAAGGGCTTCTTCAACTACATCAGCAGCAAAAGGAAGGCTAGGGACAATGTGGGGCCGCTGCTGAATGAGGCGGGTGTCCTGGTGACGGAGGATGCGGAGAAGGCAGAGCTACTGAATGCCTTCTTTGCTTCAGTCTTCAGTGCTAAGAC